GTATATTATAATTTTTCGGATTGCATGCCGCAACCGTTTTCCTCTGGAGTTGGGTGTGTGGCTTATATACTGTTTATATGTTGAAGAAAAATAATTTAGTAAAATGGAAACAAATGTGTATTATTACTAGACTAAAACATCTTTTTATGAGTATCTGCCCACTGCAACTTTGTTATTGAAATGGACCATACAGAACCAGCACTAGTAATCGTATACAGTGCGGTATGAAAAATGCAATAAAAATAATGTTCTTGTGGATTTAATCAATCATATCTTTCAATATGAATCACAATAATATCTCAGACAAGAGAATGGTAGAAGTTGATAACAGCCTACTGCACTTTGGGATTGATAGGTCATTGGGTAATAGGTCAAATTCGGACAAAGATAGAGAGATTGTTTAGTAAACTGTACATAATGTCAGGTCCTACTGTGTGCAGACATATTTGCTATTTCATATATTTTGAATGCACAGAATAATTTTCAAAATACATCAAATAAAGGACTATTTGTGCATAAATCATTTGCTAATTTTATTAACATTTGACTACAATTACCTTCCACTGTCTGTTATATCAACCAACATAATGGTTACCATATTGTAAGAAAGGATGCAGTTATTCAGTGGATCAAATTGAAAGAATCTTTAAAACTCAGTTCTGTGGTCTATATAGCGTGACTTATAACCCTAAAAATATGGTTATTAACTCATGCCGTATTTTTGTTTCTGCTTCAATATTTAATATAAGAATATCAGCAATCAATGTTGTGTTTACAACATACCAGTTAATGTTAGTAAAAATCAGTAAATTTAGAAGCCTTATTTCGAACTGAATTGATCTCATCATAGGTCATTCTGAAGAATATAGTTTACTCCTTAAAATTTCCTTCCAAATGATCAATTTTCTTCATTAAGCGAGACAATAAGACCCTTTCCCAAATGAGTGGAAAAAAACACTGGATATGTACACATGTAAATGATTTTGAAAAAAAAATATGAAAGTTTGAATAAAAAACAACAAAAGAACCAACCTTTCAATATTGCTTACATGCATTAACCAGCTGGCATTTCAAGCATCAACTTTAGAAAAAAATAATGGAGTATGTTCACTATTTATTTGCAATGCAATTCACAGTTTAGTCCGTAGACAAAAGGAAATGTGGAATCCCACTCTGAATTTTTGACACAGCTATATCAATTATATTATACAAAACAAATCTACTTCGCGAGAGGTTAACTTTACAATTCAAATGTAATAGTAATAACGTTGTTAATACAAAAAATAACACATCGTCCTAGAGATCAAGTGGTTTAGTTAACAACAGACAAAGGGAGACAATGAGCAAATCATAATTATGAATGGACACTTCACGTGTTGCTGTCGATGTAAACAAGAAATAACTATGCGAAAATATGAAGCATTTAACAGATATACGAAGTAAGACATCTAAAGTTTTAATAACAATAACTTTACGTACACTTTTCCATTCATTGTCTGGTGAGATTAGCATCATATAGGTCACACAGAACCCGGTATATCGAATTCGACACAACAGGAAGTTTACTACTGAACATAAATGGTGCATGCTTAAACATTTAGACATATTTCCATTCATTTCCCTCTCCACTATCAAGTATTCGGTATTACCTAACGTTGCTTTCAGAGAAAAATTGAAAATGATAACTAATTCGTTAAGTTATCATTTTTTCGTAAACCATGCATCATGTTTTACCGCCATAATTCGCGCACTTCCTCTCGTGTAGAGCTCTTTTTATCTGTGTAAATTACTTAAGAATTGTATCTACTAAGATCAAACAGAGTTATTCAGTTAAGTCAAATGCATATTGAATCACTTTCACTAATATCAGACTCATAGCTTACCGGTTAAAGCCTAACAAATCTCCAATTATTTGTGTGTATGGTCATATCGGCCATATCCGTCTGTCTGTACAATGGCATCGACCAAATCCAAGATGGCGTCCACTTGGTCACGTGATATGCTGAATTTGCTTTTGACGTAGGCAGTCGTCAGACATAATGTACGCTCCGACCAATCAAAATGCTCTTTCATGTTTCCCAGAGTTCAATGCGTTGTAATGTCTTGATGACATAAGAGAGGTCACGTGACAGCCTCGTTCCTATAATCCAACGTTCTATGACGTCACATTCTAATTACAATACAGAAATGACGTTAAAGTTTGTAAAAAACAACGTTTTTGTAAAAGGTGATGTCAAATATTTTTTCTAACTATAAATGCAAGCAAACGTCATCACTTTGAAATAAAATGACGTCAAATAATGACGTTATATATTTCAAATTACAACACATCCTTATTAATTTGGTTATGATCTCTTCACGGTTTCCGCACGTCTTCTGATAGACTGAAACTTCGACTTCGTTTTACTAGAATCAAGTTTACGGCTTAGTTCCTGCGTCATTTCTATCTAATGCACGTGACGTCACAGTAGATGTTAAACTATTCATTGCATTAGGTTAAGGAAAGCAAATGCAAAATCCAAATACAACATACTACACAGTCATACTTTTTGACGATCGTCAATTCATATCAGTAATTATCAAACAGTAATTTACCGTACTCATTGCTTTTCGATTACATTTTTTTAAAGAAGCAAGCAAAAAATCGTGTTTATAAAACAACGACAGTAATCGATATATCTATATCTTTCTCTGACTTCATGCTCATAAAGAACTTATGTTTGAAAGATTGGCGGATTTTTCATAATCATTCATCCTTACTCATCTAAAATTAAGCTGTTTTATAATTGTTGTTAAAAGTTTGGAAGTGTTTTAAGTTTATATCAGAGTTCCGAGACGTATGGTTAGCTTGATATGTGCCCTGATTTATAATTACTGCAATATGTAAACTGTTCATTTGTTAATTAGTTGTAGCTGTCTTTGTGATGAAACTTTCCTAACTCAGAAGGTCCTGAATGTGAAATGATATCCTTAATACGGATATATCCCACCGGGGGAGGGTCTAGGGGTCAGGTGATGATGTATGATACATACACTGAAACACACACCATTGCACTTGTCTTGTCAGCAGATGTAATCCGTTAAATAAATTAATTTTATTGTTGGGTAGATTTAATCAGGGACGTCCCTGATTTAATTTAGTCACTTCGACTCCTTGGTCACATCTACCCCTTTACAGCAACAATAACAATAATATGAGCCACCTTTAAAATGCGATTCCAATGACGATATATATGCAGCGAGGGACGTATATATACACGTGTGAGCAGGGACATAACCATTGATCTAGGTTGAGTTACTATGGTAATCCGACACTACTTTTAGTAATAGAAACTGCATTAATTCACATTTTTGAAAAGAATGCGGGGTCATTAAGAACAAGCGAAGAAATTTAATGAATAGTTTATATACCAAGAGAGACAACTCGAGTTATTCTCAAATTATATATATTATCCGTCTCTGTTTTAAATCTGATTTCTCATCTGTAGCACCTACCATTATTTCGAATGATTAATTTCAGAATGTCAACAGAAAAGTGATGATTGAGATGAATGTATTTCCGTCTACTTTATTCACTATTTAAATAAGGAAGTAAAATCTTCGTGTTTTATATGTAAATAACCATCCACCCTAGTAAGAAGACGATAAGATATTGACAGGTATAAAACAAGTGCTGATACTAGTTACAAGTGCCCGGATGAGCTTCAGTGGTCTGGAGTGCAGGCTTCAAACCTGTAGCCGATTAGCGTCGGAGTGGTTCAATTCCACCTTTCGGGCGGTTTTACCTTCCAAGAGTCATTAATCCTTCATTGCTTTCATTTATACATATTCTACCTTTTCGTCACATTCAGAGTAAGTTTTTCGTCGATTAAGGATATGCATTGTATGTTAAACCGCTAGTAGTTAGTACATGTCGTGGATTTGAATATTAGAAGAAAAAACTAAATGTACATTGTCTTTCTTTCGTTTCTTATAATGATTCCATTGATAAATATTCTATTTCTTAATTTGATATGAAATAAGATGTTTTTGAAGCTCGATACGATAGCTGTTTGTTCCATTGTTCTTATATGGAAACATGACATTGCTCATTTCGTTCTTTCTTAAGAAGCTGATTGTGGCAAAAGTTACAGCAGTATCATGAAAAAAGGGAAAATGACACCAAATTTGAAATATAAATCCCTAGTGTAATTCCTTTAAATAATTTCTTTCAGGGACATGTATTACACATTCCTATTTTTTGAAATTATTTTTTCATTTATTCATCAATTCCATACTATCAGCAAGAACGTCCCTGCTATCAGGCATAACGTTTCTCAGGCCAATCATATCACGTCTCGAAATGAAATGCAAAGTATCTTTATAAATCCATCCCGTAGTACTTAACTGAAATGTACCTGTCTCAAGAACATATATGCTTTACAGCGAGGGACGAAGGGTTTGAGCACGGGATGTAGAGAGCAATTTATGCAACAAATGAAAAAATCACGCGTGTAATAACTGAAAAATCACGCGTGAATACGTGATGCCTGGATGTCAGGTTACTGGCTACTTGCATAAAGTTTTATTTATAGATATTCCGGAGTTCATCGGAATATACCGAAGAACTTTTGCAAGCCTCGTTCCCTGACTTCTTTTGACAAAAATGGTCAAATTTTCAAAGGAAAATGAAATTATGCATTGATAAAATCAACCCAGGTTAAAACAGTATAATTGAACGTGATCGATGATAAAGCCATTTATATAATACGAATGAGTAATCCTGTGCGGGCAGTAACACAACCGCTGGGTCAAAGTACGTCTGGGAGCAGAAGAACTGTCAAACAACCACAACAACTACACGTGATCAATATAATGCGCACGCAGGCCCGTTGCCATATACGGGACCAAAAAGTCATAAATATTCATGAGAATACCATATATGACACACATAATAGCGTTATCAGCCAATCACAGGGCGCCATCAAAACGTAAACACGACTGCGTCGTAGGCATTTATCTGTCAGAAGTTGAACAGCTGACTGTAGAAAAACACTGCTGAAAATTAACAGATTTTCACTGAAATTTGTCGAAGTTTCCATCGAAAGTGGTCGGGATTGATAAAAGGACATTGGTGGTACAGAGTCAGGTATGTTTGATAGCAATTCTTTCTATGGTCTTGTAGAAATAGGATCAGATATGCTTTACGGGCGGGCGACCTTCATTTTCTCGTTTTGAATAGCCGATCTTTTGCAAACAATTCTCGATGTGACGACTTTGCTCAATAATTTACCTGATTTTGGAATGCAGATATCAAGAAAGATATCTTAAACATATGCAATATGATTTTGTCAGACAGTGCATGTAGTTGTTTTGAAAATGAAAGGTGGATACGATTTTCTTTGTTGATTTGAATGTGATGTCTAACAAAGGGCGTTACTTTGGGTCCGCGTCTACTAATTATCACTGCTGACGCTAACACAATGTGATGCTATTGATTATGGGCAAATTCCGTTCAGGATATTATTCAGTTGAACTAAAAATGACAGGAACTAGAAATATAAATTATCTTGACTTGTAACCCAAACTCGAAAAATGTTTGTTCAGCCTATTCTTCTACTAAGAAGGTCAACGGGGGAAAATACTGCAATTTTTGTGTGGATCCTGTCATGTTAAAGCTATGATATCTTAGCAACTCTTTTTTTCCTTTGAATTTTAAACAGTCGTTGCGTAGATACCTGTCGATATAACTCAGGTCAGGATCAATTGACCGACCTAAAAATAAACCTTACAGCAGAAAATGATTACATCATGCGTTGCAATTTTAGAATACCTGATGTTTGGCTGGCGTATAAATCGTGATAGATTTACTGTTTCACCTTTAGGAAAGACAACGTATATACATATTGATTCCTGCATAACATGTAGAAAGAGATGACTCACTCACAGTGTTAAATTTGAATCTTTGGAATATTTCATATTTTAGGTAGCAAGATGCTGACAAGTGTGGCTAGCTATCTGTTCGGGGGCTCTGGTGCCGAGGATATGGACACTTCGCCAGTGGAGTTGGAGACCAAGCCTGCACCCGACCAGGACTGGGTAATTGTGGATATCCCAGGTAATTATAAACACATGCCCAACTGCTCAGTATTGAAATTTATAGAAATGGTTAAATGTAAAAATGACTACAGCCATTGTATGAGGACTTTTCCAAGTACTCTCATTTTCAACAATTAATCTAAATTTTTCAATACTGAGCAGCAAGTGACTGGGTATTATCAGTCATGAAAATCTAAGATAAGAGAACAAAGTAATAATTCACTTTTCAAACATGAATATGGGTGACTTATAAATGCATCATTTTATAAGTAAATTCTATGTGAAAAAGAATTTGTCTGAAATTGGTGTGGATGTAAATAGGTTGAGCATTACTGTATCATACAGTATTGTTCGTTACAGATACAGCATTCAAATCTACAACTTCACCACAAGCAGAAATTCATGGTCAATCAAAATGTCGCCGACTTGTGCGAATAGCAAATCCTGTAAATAGTGACAGTGATTCTGAAACTGCCTCCAATTGTCATCCAGCTAGCCAAACTCCATCCACTCCCGGCTCCTTGAGCCCTGTGGGACATTCCAGATACTGTTTGAACCCTAAAATTGGTTTTCATGAAAGTTGGATTCTTACACCTCCTCCATGTTTCACTGCAGGCGGTGCCACCTCTTCCCAAGTAGGAATGGATCCCATGGAAAATCTCCTCATAGAACATCCTAGCATGTCTGTTTACAACAGCCATTGCTCTGGAGGAAGTGCGGGTGAGGAAAGTGACTTGTCCGAGTCTTCCACAGATAATATTTCTAGAACAATACAAAGACGTGGTCTCCGTCCCAGAAATGCCCGTGGTGTTGTTGTGCAGCAGTCACCACGGAAACCCCAAGCTGTAGCAGCAAGGGCTGGAATCATCACTCAGACGGATTCCCTTAAGTCCTCCCAAAGGTCTAAGCAGTTCAAGGAGACTCGCCACCTCTCACGAGCCACCCTAAACAAGCAAAACAAGACCACAAGACTCAGCACATCGGCCAAACGTAGCTATAATCGCCAGCGCATCAACAGTCCAAAGAGTTGTGTTATGACCTACCAGGCCAAGCACTAATGTTTCTGACTGTCTAGTTACCCATGTTGATCCTTCAATTGTAGCTCCTAGCTCTGACTGGTTATTGTTTATATATATACTGTTTAGTATTTAATATCCCAGAATATTTAACTTTTTTGCTGGCTTTATTATCTGTATATCTGTTTATGGTCAGTTGTTACACCTGTTTATTTGTTAATTGTCAATCCAAGTTGTTATTTCAGTGAAGTATTGTTTGATGAAAAAATTTAACTAGCAGTTTTAAAGACAGCCTTATTTGCAGGACATTACCATTTATGAATGTCTTTTTTTCATTCAATACTGATTTTAAAATAGGAATAATCTTCAACATTAAACCATCGTGGTGGTGTGTAATATATCTATCATGACAAGAACATCCTTTGGTGTTATTTGAGGTGATGTATAACCATCTTTTAAATAAACTTGATGGAACTGTAAGTAGACAGATATTAATGATTTCCTGCCATTTAAACGTGATCAATGCAAATCACTTCTAAGATGATCTTTGATTTTTTATTTTCCAGGGTAGAATTAATAGATCTGAATGTAAATACCACATTTACAATTATTTTATTGTCCTTTTTAACATTATCATCTTGGAAAAGAATGAAGTACACACGGAAACATCATGTCACCACACAAACGTATGTGAACTGAAATAGAACAATTCAATCATTGTTTGAAATTAATACATATTCATTTATTTAGTTAGGTGTAAATATGCTTGTAGTATTGTGCAAATAAATGTTTTTATTTTTACAGCTATCTCGGAGCATTGCCTTTATGAAAACAAATATAAATTGTGAAACTATTTCACAGAGACAAGTTCAATGAAAGATCACTGTCACAGTTGTAACACGTCAGTTTTACATGACATGGTGCCGACTTAGAGAAAAAATATCCAGTCAAATTTAGTCAGTTTTGTTTTTCTCTGGTTAATTCATCTGGTGCATAAACTAATGTTCAGTAGATAGTTGGTACAGATTCTGTAATCCAACATTTGGTAAATGGTAATGCTAGAACACCAATAACATTGTTTCAATGCCTTTTACCGTACTCTTGTTTGTTGCAAGTCATATTCGTTGTTCATTATTAATAAGGCTGATAAGTAAAGTTTACTTGTAAGATATAAATAGTTAAAGTAAATAAGGTATTCCACCTGCAGGACAAATGTAAATAATTACAGAAATTAGCGTAAATTTTAGTTGTTGTAAATAGCAAAGTTGTTTGATATTATGATATTGTCTACTTTTGATATCCACTACATAATAAGTTAAATTATTGTTGAACACGAGAAAAGATAGCATTGTGTCTGTTAGAGTGTGCAATACTATATATGTGTTTGTTGAAATAACAAGATTAGTGTTGATGGAGTGGACAATACTAACATCATCACCTCAGAAAATTTCATCTGTATATAGAGGTCATCCAGTCAGCAGTGATCCAGCATGAAGTGTAAAATTTCATCTTACAAGTTTTTATTTTATATTCTTGTATATTTTTGTTACCAAATTTTGCACCTGTTATGAACTTTGATGTGCAAATTGAAATATAAAGAATTCTGATAATGATATATGATGATTCCTATCAATGCCTCCATATTTTATCATCTTGTACACCACTGCATATTATCCAACTGTTTTCATTGATGGTTAGCAAATATCCGCCCCACTTTAATTTGTTTGCTCATTTTAACGTTTGTTTGTTTACCATAGTTGCTGTCATATTCAAAAGAGGGTCCTTATTGACAACATTGCATTAGATTTATGTAAATTTACTTGATTTCAAATCAAAGTTTTTACTGTTTTGAAAGACTGTTGTTGCCAGCTTTACATCTAGGGCTTTCAACATATACTATTGTAAGGGTGCATCATCCATATAATATTCAAGTATGCTCTACAACTTGCACTATATTGTATCTATAAATCTATGCAAAACTGTGTCAAAATGCTTAGCATGGATTAGTGAAAATGAGTTGTAATTATTGACTGCAAAGAAATGTGTAAATTTGATTGACTTCTCCATCACAATATGGCGAGTCAGATTCATATTGATTTATGTTTATGTAACTCAAAAAGATCATATTTAGAAAGAAACATCAAGTTGGAAAAGTGTGAGTGTGATATATGCTTCGGTCGCTGAAGACACTAAATAATTGAGAGTGATTCCCCTTTGCAGTGGCATTGTGCGAGTGACTGTCTGCTCTGCCAAATTATCTTGGGTGGCTGCAACCTGCATTTTATATTGTTACACCTCAGGGAGCAGTCGTAAGTGGCATATGTATTTCAAAAATCTCATTTTACCCGACATAATTTTATACAGTCACTGTGACATGTAATAACATCCTTAGTCATGCAATCACTGTTGCTCAAAATGTCTATTCTCTGTTTTTTCTCTGTATGATTTTTAGTTTTAAACTATTTATTAAAAGTACGCTAGTGTGGCAGAGAGTTGGTTGACATTCTGGTTGAACATTTGTGTGTAGCTACCTGTCAGGAAAGAGGTCATCAGCTAAAAGAGTTACAACAAGCAATTATATAGGAGATATTGTGAGACTAAAAACCTCATATTTGCATATTGTTAAAACAATAAAAAAAAAATTTATGTTAAAGTTTCTTTTAGTTTTTCATTTGATTAAACAATATATATCAAACAATATCACATTATAGGAGGCAAGACAAAGTAAATTTACATGAGGGTATTGACTGACATTGATTTCATATATGCCACTTTTGATAAAGACTGTTTTGACTGAGTTTTTTAGCAAGAAGGGAAATGTTGATATGTCAATGATACTGACACTAATTGACAACTAAAACACCAACAAGTCAGAAAAGGCCAAGATATGTGTCTGACCCTTAAGGGTAAATGTAATAATTATTGTACAACATTGACATTGAACTGTATGTTAAATGTTCCTGAACAAACATGTCTCATGTTGACTTGACCCACATTATTACCATCTAATTGAACCTAAGATGATACTATTTTATCATCAATCCTTGAAAAGGTGACAGACAAAGATGAGACAGAGTTGACATGTCCATAAGACTGATGTGATGAGGTGGAGTTGACCTGACAACAGGACAGCTAGTTTTGACAAATGTTAATACATTGCATTATATTGTATATTGAATCATGCAGAAGACAAAGTTTCAGGCAAATATCCATAAAAATATTCAAGAATTTCAAGACCTGAGGAAAATGAAAAAGTTGTATAGATGGCATATGCATGTATGCAACTGTTACCAATAATCCTCTCAATAGAAAAAACACAGTTGCTGATGTTGGATTTTAGTCCGAAGATGAGAGAAACCCTTGTGATTATGGTTTGGGTAAGTATTTGTGAAGGTCCATGAAGGTGTATCATGATAAAATCTACCCCTTAAGGCAAGTTTATTTATAGGCATTTAGTGATGAGTCATAATGTCACATAAGCTGCTAAAGTAGCTTATAGGCATATTTCTAAGGGATAAATCCATCTACCATATACTTTCACACTCTTCAAAATGAACACTAACCATGTATGTACTATCCATGCCTCAGAAGTCAACATTAATCATGTATTCACCCCAGTAAGTCAACACTATCATTCCTCTAAAGTCAACACGAACCATGTACTTATTCACTCCATCCAAATCAACACCAACCAAGTATGTATTCACCCATTCTCTCTAAGTCTACAATAACCATGTATGTGTATTCACCCTTCTAGATCAACACTAGCCATTTAATTACTTTTTTTCATAGCCATCCCTTCAAACTAGCCATGTATCTTCCAGTCCCTTCAATAAACTTTTCCCTCCCTAAAAATAGCTATATATAAGCCTCAGTTTAAAATGTGCTTTTATTCTTAAATAGCAACTGTAATATCTTCACCTGTCCAGCTCACCTGGGCAGTTTACCTGGTCAGGATTTATTTACCTGTCCAAACATATCAGGACAATGACCTTTGGTCAGAGTAAGGCAAACTATCAGTACAACTAACCCATGGACTGACCAGGTGAGGTTTAAACACTTTTAACAATACAAGTTAATACAGTTATTAAGCGAAAGTCTGATCATAACATATATAAACTGCTTACTGATTATCCCATGAAAAGGGAGATAATCTAACATCGCATTGCAATTTAAGTACCCTGTAGGGTATAAATGTCTGTATGTTGACCCCTACCCCTTTCCTGTTCATACTTTCAATATATATCAGCACTAGTGGGAACAGGGCAAGGTCAAAGTGTGATGTGAAAATGTGTATCAGTGACCAGTAGAAAATCCCATAGAAACCTACAGAATGTTATAATGTGTATCAGTGACCAGTAGAAAATCCTACCAAAACCTACAGAATGTGATAATGTGTATCAGTGACCAGTAGAAAATCCTACCAAAACCTACAGAATGTGATAATGTGTATCAGTGACCAGTAGAAAATCTCATAGAAACCTACAGAATGTGATCATATGTATCAGGCATCAGTAATAGATTCTACCAATGGAAAACAACTTTTGTATCTCATCACATAAAATTTTGAACAGAAGAGGCAGGGTATGATTACATAAGTTTGTGTGCTGACACCACTGTTGATTAAGGTTGGGTCATGATTTGATAAATTGTGAAAGACTATAACACAAGAAAGCAAGCAGCATTTTTCTGGCTACATGTACTTTGAATTATGTTTGAATTATATTTGAACTATATTTTAGATAGTCAAATGGTATGGGGCACCCACATCATATGGGCAAAATGTCTGCCTGCATATAATGTCATTTAATATTACCATGAATGCCATGAGAGTGTTTAATGCTGATCTTTACCTTTCCTAACCTTGTCTTATACTGATTATAATTTGAGAATCTGTCAAAATCAGCAGTCAATTTGAAGGCAAATTGTCTCCATCTATGTCTACAATACTGGCACCATAATGGTCACATGCTGGCCATCACCTATTGTATCTTAACTGGTTAGTTTATATAGTGACCTTGCTGTGCACATTGCATATATGGGATACCTTAATAAAATTACATTTGTGGCGATACTCAAATGAGAATTTCATATGTATGGAACACCCAAATGCTAATTTAAAAAATGTGTTGAATGCTGAAATGAGGATTGCATGAGTCTTAGATACCTAAATAGGGTTAAGTTTTCAAGAATCATTTTTACTAATCTTCATGTTTAATCTCAAGTCTTGCTAAATCAGTCAAAATTTTATTTTATCTATTTAACAGGTTTTCTGTCCACTATTATGTAAGCGAATGAGAAATCAGTCTATTTCTGTTTATAAGAATCTCTAAGTAAATTGTGAAGAGAAGTTAATAACACCTGTCCCAGTCTGTCAGTACTTGACAGCTGTCACTCACTCTTATCACAAAGGAAAGATATCGTTAACATTCTACAAGTAGCATATGGCAGGACAGCTTGTTAGGTAGGGAACAGTTGGCTATAATTATATATCTAGTACAGTTTAAAGAGAAGAAAGTTTTGTGTAAATCAGTGAGAGTTCCTGTTGAAACTAGTTTCTTATTCATTAACTTTCTAATTGTTCAATATACACTAATCAATTACTACTTATTATCAGGTAGCATGTTCATTAGTTGGAATCCTGGTATCAGGGTGGGTATAACAGGATTGGATGAAATCACAACAAGAATGAAGATTTCTTAACTTTTTTTTTTTTTGAAAATCAAACTTAACTTTAACATTTGTGACTATTCCTATTAACTTATGAATTTAATTTACAAAAAACAAAGAAAACAAAGACTAGAAGGTATGACCATGTCATAATACAATTCTCTAAAATGATTATCATTTCTCCATCATTTTTGTTATTAATACATCCATCCATAGACAAAAACATATGAGTGAAAACCAAACACATGTCAAAAATCAAAATACACACACCAAAACATTGGCTTCATCTCTTCAGAGACTGGCTTGGTTGCTGATCTCTTGTATCTCAGTTACAAGTAAAATCACATGTAAAAACGAAAGTTTATTCATCAACAATCAGATATAAATATATAGAAACACTGTTAACTGGGTCCCTGTCTAGACTTAACAGGGTCGTAAATAACATTCAGGATAGCACTAATTTACAAGCAAACCTCTTCTTATTGGAATATATGTACAATCATGTATAAGGTATCTGACACTAATAGTTACTGGTGTTGACGGCATTTGGATAAAGAGCTACAAAATTTAGGTACTAGAGGTCAACTTTTTTATGGAAAAAACAAACAAGACTGATTCTAAAACCACACAGCTCCATATTTTTTGTGACAGTAATAATTAGAAGCACAGACATCTGACATAAGCAACTTTCTTGCGAGACACTATTGCACCAGTTTGTAGCACCAGATCTAACTCTTCTCATAAGAACATGATATTAATTCAACTTATTCATCAATATAGCATGATAATATAAATACATTCAGTACGGTATTATGACACATCTAGCACAGTTACATCATACATATACTTACCTATTATGCCTTTTATTACTAAACCTCCACATTATTTTTTTTTCTTAGAAAAAAAAACATTTTCCTGGAATCTATGAGAAAATCCAAGAGCAGGGAATTTTCCAAACATTTCAACATAACCTCAGTTGAAAAATGTCACATAAGTAGGTGTGTTACAGAATGTGAGCACTTTAATAGGAATATTTCTCACAGTATTGGGGTGGTCTTTAATGAGAGTTGTCATTAGAGGATGATATGAAGTCTTCATTAAGGAAGTCACACATTTCTCTCCTAAACCACTATGTGTGTTGAAAGATTTCACATCAGAAACAGCTGTCATGATGATAAATGAAAAGATCTTCTTGGTATCCATCGTTGACCTTAAAGCTTAACTAACCTTGAAAGTGTGGTAAGCATGAAGATGTCTATCCATTGGCATCAACAAACTGCATTTGCAAGGATATCTACTTCTGTCTAATGATGGCCTTGACCCTGAGCACAATCAAGCCATCAAGACCTAAGCATAATCACAGCTGGACTATAAAACTATGACCTTGACGTGGTGATCTTGCTCAGGTGATGCAGCAGAAGTCGTCACCAACAAACTTCACCTCTCCCTCTAGGAGGTTACGGATGACAGCTTTAGTAATGTAGCTGGTCGTACCATGACGGACATTGGCAGGCGTATTAAAAAAATTTCGCATCTCATCCATCTTTTCTTGACCCTCATGTTTACTCTTGTCTCTCTGGTAATCCTCAAATGCATCATGGATTATCTGTGTAAAAAAGAAGGTCCACCATATAGAAATTATCCATATTAGACTATGTACTTCACTGAAGTTTGAAGTCTTCATTTGTAAAATTTCTCTCAAAGGTTAAAAAGTCCCACAACGACTAATTAAAAGTAAATGACAGAAGTTAAAGTGAAAATTCCTCAAATTTATTTCTAATAAAACATTATAATAATTAAATGAGGACATTGGGTTTTTCACAATTCTAACAACTGTGTGATGTAATGCATTTATGATATCAGATTTGACTTACTACATGCATTTGTCATAAGACATATTGTAGATGTACAGTCTGCGACACTACATAATAGAACAGGTTAATTATGTTATATAGAATGTATTTTATCATACTGGTTATAAAACTAACATATTTATTCCAATATATTGGGTAATGTGCCACTTACGATTACTTAACTCTGAATTAGTTCGAATGTTTTGTGTCAAGTTAGGTGGGGACTTAAAAATGCTTTGAATTAAACAGGGTCTTTGAGTAATACGAGTTCCAGATAAAATGGTTCAACTGTATATAGTATCAGTAGCTTGTAAGAAGAAAATGTAAAAACTGAGGATTGTTCTATCACCTACCTTATCCATGTTGACTGACTGCTCAAATGTCACCTCTGGGTTTCTTGTCAGCATAGTTGACACCACAACAAATGTCTGCAACACCCAAAAAATTAGTTATCTCCCAAATCAAGCCAAAACTTAAAATATATTGGTGTACAGTAGACTCTCAATAATCAGGAAACATTTGTCCCTGGCCAAAATTATGTGGATTACAAGTTTCACCAGACTGCCGACATTAGTCAACTAGCCAATATAAATGGAGTTACTGCCCTTGATTACATGATGATAAATCACTAGCAGGATGCTGTTGTTTTTATGATAATGTCTGTATAGTTTTTACTATGGATATAATTATCTATAAATATCCTTTACTGTCTAAGTAACTTTCTTTTTCATAAATAATTGTACATGAATAAAATTGCTGAAGTGAAAGTTACTAAAAAACATTTAATAACCCATGCTTTTATAACCCATACATTAATAACTAAGAAATCCGTGCTGTGTTTTTCTATGTTAGATATGTAGAATTATTGAAGGACAATGCCCCCTAATTATTTGTCTCATCAAATTCGTATTTTATGATTTTTATCAAGCATTTATATTTTTTCTATATTTTATCTCATGAACCATATACAACAGGTACTAATTGTAATGGGGACCATTACAAATGTCCCCCAAACAACCCCTTCAGCAGTAAATGATCACAATTACAAGGTTAGAAAAAAATATTTTCAGCTACTCGTCTGTCCTGGCAAGTGAAACTTGAAATTCACTTGCCCGAATACAATATTCACTCACCCGAAGAAAAAAAGGCAACAAAACGTAATTTAAGGAACACAAATTTTATTATCAATTTCTATATCAAATGTTTGAACTCAACACTTGCTTTTATTGTTTTACTAATATTTAATTCACTGTTAACCCAAACAAGAACATCGACTTTTCGACAGAAACTCTGTACACAAAACAACCTTGTTTACAACATTTGTGATGACGTAATAGTTTTTTCGCGTTTTCGCGTAGTCTGGATCAGCCCGAGTCTTGACACGTGGTGTAAACAAGGATACTACATCGATGTATTTGATTGACTATCAGAGGATCTTAATTAGTTGTAAGAGTGTTTAAGTTGATAAAAGTAATTTATTATGGAATATCCAATAGTCAGAACTACAAATTTCACTTGCCCGCTGAACAATTAGCTGAAACAATCATTCGCACGCAAGTAGCTTTGACTCGTCTAGACGAGTGGACAAGTGGATTTTTCTAACCCTGAATAATCAGACCTGCAGTCATGACAAACATGAACACACCAATTTTGAATGGAAATGAGAACGCAAATTTTTAAAACATCAGAAGACAGGAAATGTTGATGCTTTTAGTTTGGTATAAAGAGAAGTGTCCTTACCTCAGTATGACAAAGAGTTTATTTTGTGTCTGCTAATTTCAATGTTAAGTACTTCTCAATGGTCCATTAAAACATAATCGGACAATATCTAAAATTTGGCCAAATTTAGACCACAGCTGACTGCTCAGATGACCGATCGATGACCGAATGAAAAAATTGACCACAGCTGACTGCTCAAATGACCGATCGATGGCCGAATGAAAAATGGACTATGCCATTTTGCTCCTAGTGCTACCTAATACATATATACCAATTTTCACAAAAATCAAGACAACATCTCAAATTTGGCCAAATTAATACCACAGCTGACCACTCAGATGACTGATCGATGGCCGAATGAAAAATGGACTATGCCATTTTGCTCCTAGTGCCACCTAATATATATATACCAATTTTCACGAAAATATGACAATATCTAAAATTTGGCCAAATTTTAACCACAGCTGACTGCTCAGATGACCGATCGATGGCCGAATGAAAAATGGACTACCCCATTTTGCTCCTAATGCCATCTAATACATATATACCAATTTTTTACGAAAATCTGACAATATCTAAAATTTGGCCAAATTTTGACCACAGCTGACCACTCAGATGACCGATCGATGGCCGAATGAAAAATGGACTATGCCATTTTGCTCCTAGTGCCACCTAATACATATATACCAATTTTCATGAAAATCAAATAATATCTACAATTTGGCCAAATTTTGACCACAGCTGACCGCTCAGATGACCGATTGGAACAATTCAAGTGGCCTGGACTCCGCCTCGCATGTATGAATATGTGTGCAAAGTTTTGTTAAATTCTATGCAATAGTTTTTGAGAAACGCCTCGGAAACCTTGCCGGCGGAAGAAAGTGGAAGAAATAAGAATAATATAAATAATAATAAGAAGAAACGGAGCAAACACAATATGTCCCCCACTTCCTTTGGGGGACATAGTTTAATAATGTTATATCTTGTATTCCTTGTTACTATCAATGTTCAAAATCACACGAAAAAATGAAAAAAATGTGTTATTCTCTGTATAGGATAATTCAGGGTTAATTGCTAAACGTTTGATATTTTCTTTAAAATTAATTCCTAAGTCCTGTAAATACCAGGGGTGATAACTCTGACATGAATTCCACAGGTGAATGCCTCAGGCAGTTGCTGTGTGCTATACATTTCTGGCACAGGTGACTGAAGACAAATTTTCTTCAGATGGTAACAATAAGATGTCAAGAGTATTGAGGGAATATAACAATGAAAAGTTCATTCTGTTCCAAAAAAGTATATACAAGGTGAGAATTTGAACTTCCTGACTGGTGAGTACAAAAAAGCTGTTCCCTAAAATTTCCATCCAGGTTGTGAGTTTTCCTGACTATCAATAGCCTGGTTATCATGGGTCCAATGAAAATTATAACATTAATGACCTCAATCTGATGATTTTCACAGACAAAAGTGCACAGATAAATCAAACATACCTCAACCATGATCTGACGGTAAGACGGGTCAACAATCTTACTTAACATTTGTTCCACCAACAAGGAGAAGTTGAGTTCATACATAGTCATGTCAGAGAGAGTTGGATGCTGCAAAAGGTAAACAGTGACAGTATAGCATACAGATTATTCCTGTTCCTTAGTCAGAGGTTAACAGTGACACATAACACACAGATTATTCCTGTTGATTTAAATAATAAACTTCTGCCACTTTCAGATTTATCCGGAAACAAATTTATTTTTAACATCCTGACTTTTGTGTGACAATTTGATTCCAGATAATAGTGACAACAGAAAGAAAATAAAACAGATTTATTCTATCAGGGGAAACACCTTACCTATGATAATCATGTCATTTGATGTCACCATATCAATGGCAAATATTACACTGATGTCATCCTACATATCTGTAAGCATTATTACACTGATGCCCTACTACCTTCCTTTCAGTGTAAACATGATTACACCAATGACTTTCTACCAGTCAGTGGTAAACTTAATTACACTGATGCCATACTACCTATCTAAGGTAAATATTATTACACTGATGCCATACTACCTATCTATGGTAAATATTATTACACTGATGCCATACTACCTATCTATGGTAAATATTATTACACTAATGCCATACTACCTATCTATGGTAAATATTATTACACTGATGCCATACTACCTATCTATGGTAAATATTATTACACTGATGCCATACTACCTATCTATGGTAAATATTATTACACTGATGCCATACTACCTATCTATGGTAAATATTATTACACTGATGCCATACTACCTATCTATGGTAAATATTATTACACTGATGCCATACTACCTATCTATGGTAAATATTATTACACTGATATTTCCATCCTACCTGTGGTAGATGATAGCCTGCCACTTTGATACCACCAGGAGTGTTTTCGAGGATCTGCCACACTAGATCATAGAAGTCCTTTGGTACCCTATTAAGGGCACCGTCCAACTGTCTTCGCTGGAGCGGTGTACGAAGATGGGCGTCTTCTACATTACAAGTGAGCAAGGAGTAGAGCCTCTGTTTGATATCACTTGGTGACAGAGAGTATAAGTCTGTCTGATCTGATTCTAGTTCTATCTGCATGGCACGCACAAACCACCTGACAACAAAGTTAGGGTGTGTGGAATAATTTGTATTTATAGTAGTTTTTGTAGATAATCAAATTTCAATGGTTTAGAATAGATATCAACATGAGTTGTATTTTACCAGGACTGTTGTGTTGTAAACTATTCAACATCAAATGCAAACATCGGGAAATTCTTTGGAAATGACAAATAGAGGATGCTATTATCTGTCTTGCACACTGGTTCATGTGACAAACCTACCTTACTCTGATTTTGAGGACAGGAAACACATATCAAAATCAGTTTCTGTTAAACTTACCTTATCCCAATTCTGAGGACAGGAAACACATATCAAATTATTTTCTGTCTAAAACAATGAGGCAGTGGTAAAGCTAACTTTCTCTGATTCTAAGGACAGTGATTAATAGAACATTTCCATAGTTGGAGGGTAGGACAGAGAATTCTCTACCTGTGGAGGAGATTTTTGATTGTCTAAACCGAGGCTTTCCTGTGGGTTATACTGTCAGGAATCTCCTCCGAGGCTAGAGATTTCTTATTGACAATTACAGGAGCCAGAAATGTCACTTCCTGTGCGTGCAGGCTGTCTTGTCAGGGTAAGATAGAGATATCATGCCGTCACTGGAAATGTGGATATTTCAATCTGGTGGGGTCGAAAAACCTATCCTTGGCTAATCCTAAGGTCAGTGATAAATATATCCTCTGATTCTAAGGACAGTGGTAAACCTTTCCTTCTCTGATTCTAAGGACAGTGATAAACCTACCCTTCTCTGATTCTAAGGACAGTGATAAACCTACCCTTCTTTGATTCTAAGGACAGTGATAAACCTACCCTTTTCTAATTCTTAGGACAGTGGTAAATATATCCTCTGATTCTAAGGACAGTGGTAAATATATCCTCTGATTCTAAGGACAGTGATAAACCTACCCTTCTTTGATTCTAAGGACAGTGATAAACCTACCCTTTTCTAATTCTTAGGACAGTGGTAAATATATCCTCTGATTCTAAGGACAGTGGTAAACCTTTCCTTCTCTGATTCTAAGGACAGTGATAAACCTACCCTTCTTTGATTCTAAGGACAGTGATAAACCTAACCTTCTTTGATTCTAAGGACAGTGGTAAACCTTTCCTTCAATGATTCTAAGGACAGTGGTAAACCTTTCCTTCTCTGATTCTAAGGACAGTGATAAACCTACCCTTCTTTGATTCTAAGGACAGTGATAAACCTAACCTTCTTTGATTCTAAGGACAGTGGTAAACCTTTCCTTCGCTAATTCTAAGGACAGTGATAAACCTAACCTTCTCTGATTCTTAAGACAGTGACAAACCTAACCTTCTCTGATTCTAAGGTCAGAAAACATATATATTAATTTGTGTCTGTCTAAACATTGTAACAGATTTTAACCTACCCTATTCTAATTTTGAGGATGCCCTCAAAGAGTTCTGGCTGTGTGGCGATGAGTTTACCAATACAGAGAATCAGTTCCTGTTGTATGACGGCTTGTGGAATATCGTGTGGAAGACAGACCGAGAAAAGGATGTTTTTCAGCTCATTAGGACTAATGGGTTTGTCCAGAACCTCCTCTTCATGTCCATAAACACCCACTGTTATCTACAAAAGTATGAAAAGTTGTAATGGATTTTTCTGTAATTTGACCTTGACAAACTAAATACTCTTACAGTATAATTATGGTAACTTACAATAACACTGTATTCCTTATTTGACCCAGGTGAGTTTTAATATTCCTTGACTAACCTGGATAAATTACTCATATAACCTATAAATAGATATTCTTAATAAATTGACCTTGGAAAGTCATACACAGACAATCTAATAGTTTTGACATAGATAAGCTAAAATTACATTAGAATACTGATAATATGGTAATGAACAGTACAATAGAATATCTGGAACCAGTCCTTCAGAGTCCAATCTGTCCCAACAGTACTAATCACATGTTTGTAGAGAGAGGCCTGACTGAGTCAGTCCTTTAGAGTCCAATCTGTCCCAACAGTACTAATCACATGTTTGTAGAGAGAGGCCTGACTGAGTCAGTCCTTCAGAGTCCAATCTGTCCCAACAGTACTAATCACATGTTTGTAGAGAGAGGCCTGACTGAGTCAGTCCTTTAGAGTCCAATCTGACCCAACAGTACTAATCACATGTTTGTAGAGAGAGGCCTGACTGAGTCAGTCCTTTAGAGTCCAATCTGTCCCAACAGTACTAATCCCATGTTTGTAGAGAGAGGCCTGACTGAGTCAGTCCTTCAGAGTCCAATCTGTCCCAACAGTACTAATCACATGTTTGTAGAGAGAGGCCTGACTGAGTCAGTCCTTTAGAGTCCAGTCTGTCCCAACAGTACTAATCCCATGTTTGTAGAGAGAGGCCTGACTGAGTCAGTCCTTCAGAGTCCAATCTGACCCAACAGTACTAATCACATGTTTGTAGAGAGAGGCCTGACTGAGTCAGTCCTTTAGAGTCCAATCTGTCCCAACAGTACTAATCCCATGTTTGTAGAGAGAGGCCTGACTGAGTCAGTCCTTCAGAGTCCAATCTGTCCCAACAGTACTAATCACATGTTTGTAGAGAGAGGCCTGACTGAGTCAGTCCTTTAGAGTCCAGTCTGTCCCAACAGTACTAATCCCATGTTTGTAGAGAGAGGCCTGACTGAGTCAGTCCTTCAGAGTCCAATCTGACCCAACAGTACTAATCACATGTTTGTAGAGAGAGGCCTGACTGAGTCAGTCCTTCAGAGTCCAATCTGACCCAACAGTACTAATCACATGTTTGTAGAGAGAGGCCTGACTAAGTACAACCTTTATACAGAGTGGTATAGTGGACAACCAATCACTATCTTTTTCACAAGACAACACATTCCTTAGAGAAGGTCAGCTCATTATTACAATTACAATACTTTCCAAGATAATTATGTAAATACTTTGCGTAATGAACATGATTAACAAACAAATGACCCTGACATATAGTTTGATATAGATAAACAAGACCATTTGGTGAATTACAGTCCCCAATGACACAGCCTCACCAAGATGAGCCCATACCCAATGTATAAAGTTCCAGTGACTAGTAGTTTGGGAGATAGAGCCAGGACAAAGGTCATAATGTAGGTTAGAGAGACCTACTTTTGAAACATGACACAGTGACTCACCGATGTGAACTCATACCTTAAGAATGAAGTTTCAAGTGATAAAGAATGTAGGAGATAGAGCTCAAACGAACCTTTTCTTTTATGTAGATCAAGTCAAAATGTAGAGGTCATGATAACCTACCAGGTACTTTTGGTACATGACCCAATATCTCACTAAAGTGAACCCATAATCTAAGTAAGTATAGTGTAGAAGATAGGACCCAGACAAGAAAGCCTAAAGAGGGAAGAGCTACAGAAAGAACACAATACTATAGTACCCTCCAGTTCCTGATGGCAGACTAATTATAAACAGAGATTCCTACAAATTGACCTAAACGAATTATAAAAAGATTCTCTTATAGATAATAAATGGACTAAATAACTTAAGAAAATTGATAATCCTTGTTTTACCATGACAAATCATAAATATATATCGCTAGTTTAGTCTACATATGTTATCAGTAGATAACTTCTTAGATACTCCTAGTTTGGTGAAGATAAGTTACAAAAATAGACAGCCCTAATTTGACCTAGATAAGTAAGTTTCCATCGTTACCTGTTTGCCTCTGACCAGAATAGTGGTGATGGATGGAGCAAGACTATCCACTAACTTGCCAAGCATAGCTGCCATCACCCTGACCACCGACCACTTCTTGTACAGACTGGCTTGGTTAATGAGTTTGTCCATGCGACTGGCCAATGGCTCATTGTCAATACGGAACTGAGGCCCCTCACGCTGGTAGAGGACTTTCATCAGTCTACACCGGGCTGTCATACCTTCGTAGTGACCAAGCATCTGAACAAGGTCCCAGGTTGCTTTGTGACTGAGATCCTTAAACAGGAGGTGTAAGCCATCGACTCTAAATGGACTCATGTATCATACAAACAGGTTATCAGTAATCAAAAGTTCATTTAAACATTGTCTACGAAAAAACTGAAATTCACAAAGGCTTGAACAACATAACAAAGAAAATGTTAAAAATTAAATGTAATGAATTAATACTAGTGTTGGAAACTTGGCAAAATAATGGCCCTTATTAAACATGGAGACAAGTGTTTTGTCCTGTAGCTTGGTTTAGTACGTACAGTATCTGACATGTTGAGGTCAGCATCATTGAGTTCTGGAAGTTTGGGGATATCTGTCAGGCTGCGAAAGCTGGAACTGATTGTTTTCCCTTGAAATGCACAGAACTTGAGGGGATCAGGAAGGTTGGATAGGAAGTCCAGGTGTTCTACTGTCGCAGCTGAGATCAGTGACTGCAAATTAGTGATGAAATTTAATGTGTACAACAAATTAATGAGGAAATCTATTGAAAGCAAAATATTCATCAATAGATTTAATTGACATTGCTAGCTTAATCAGAATAGGATAAAATGCTGCAATTTAATGTATCAATTTAATGTGTCAATTTAATGAATGTTGTTACAAAATATAGGAAAGAAATATACACTGGACCTTATAGTAACACTTGCCTTCAAAACCTCATCTTTTCTATTTTCTTATTTAAGTTCTTATTTGTTGCTATCTTGACTGGTTTACCAGAATAATATTTAGTCTTTGGCATTTGCCTCAGCCGAAACCCAGCCATTACGCAATATCATTCTACAATTTTTAGCCCAAAGGGGAAACTCTCATTTCTTATTTTTTTGTTAACTTTGAAAATTTCCCTGCATGTAAAAGATAACCAAATCAATAACTCGTTTTATTTTTCACCCTCCGGTCATGTTTGTATATATTTAATTACCTGAAAAGTTTTCCATTAGCTATCTGTACTGTTATGTAGACCATATCACAACAAAGCACAAGGTATCATACTATGTGTGATGTTCGTACATCATTTTCTGCCCATGATAATTTTCAGAGCAAAGTTGTTACATAGGGCCAGCTTGAAAATTTTCAATCTGAATGTGCCCACAAGTACATCTATAGAAATTTTAAATCACATCAAATATTCTATAGCTAAAGATAGTGTAATCTATAACGGACAAAGTTTTTGATCTGAATGTGTTCACAATTACATCTATAAAGTAATTATAAATTACCTCTGATATTCTGTAGTTACCGAAAGTGTATTTTATTCAAGGTCGGGAAAGGAAAACAATTAACAATCAAAAGACAAATTACTGTAAAAAACTAACAATGCTTTCCTATCGATCAGATCAGAATTCTCTTAAGTGACAGTGACATAATCACTGCCCAAGAGCATGTCAGTATTGCTAATACTTTTATATAGCCAGGAGCCACAAACATTAACCAAATGGTGGTAATTAAAAGCTCACCTGTAATTTCCCCAAACGTACTCGGATATTGTCCACCTGTCCACGTTTGAACTGAGCCAACAGGTCAAGAAACTCCCCAAAGTTTTGACCCCTGAGGTGGTAGATTTCAAAAATAAAAAAGGGGGGAAAAATTACATCAGCTATTACCTTTTAACATATCCATGAAACTTTAAAGTATAATCTAACTTAAACGTCTTATTGTATTACAAATTATAATCTTTTTCTTACTATATTTCATGTCCATCTCTCCAAGTCAGAAATTGTTTTGCTCAAAACAAACACATTCATAATTGAGTATTTGATATTAAGAAGGGCAGGCTTTCCAATCTATTTAGATTTAGGGAACTGACACTGACATAGAGAAAACCAAAGTGGATATAGCTATGAGTATTGATTTTTATTTGGTGTGCTCTGTTTGTAGACCGGTGCCTCTACACTGACATATAGTACCTTAATAATGATGGTTCAGATAATCAATAATGACCCTGTCCACATCACAAAGCTAGTCAGAGTCTACACTAGGGAGATAGGAAGGGAGCAGAACACTGGTCTGAGGTGTGGTGTGATAGAAGTAGTTAGGTTTAAACTTGTTGCTATAGAAGTAGTTAGGTTTAAACCTGTTGCCGTCTGTGTGTGATGTACAGATAAGGCCAAACAAGCTGTCAGTGTTGTATGGATTGGTATTATCAGATATGATAATAATAACATACCTGTAATATTTATTCACATCCTGTTTATCATGCCACAACTGTAAACATATAAGACTCTGAGGATGATATTTCAATGCTCTCAAAGCTAATTCACTTCAATTCAATAGATATAATATATTTTCAGTTTTATTCCTGAATTTCACAGCTGGCCAGTTTGGTAGCCTGAGATAACAAGCCTCAGACTGGATATCTTACCTGTAATTCTGTTTCTACAGGCTTGTAATGATTGTAAAGAAGACACACAAGTGAATAACATCTTCTATTACAAATTTAGTGTTAGACAGAATAGAGCCAAACAGTGAATAAAACAGCTGTCCTTCAAAGACGTGTTACTTACACTAAGGGCCTAATTTTGAAGCCTTGGAGGCGAAAGAGGAAAATCCAAAGTGATTGACCTAGATGGGGAGGTTCACTAGATCCATAATGCAATAAAGAGTGAAAGGATTAAAAGTTGATAAAGTTTCAGGTAGTAATCTGGAACAATTTTACCATTTTACTACAGAAACAGCAAAATTTTGTAGATTTGCCTGTTGCCATGGTAACACGACCCAGAGCCCAAATTAACATCCCCAGCAAATGTGTTTGATGCGTGAGTGAATACATTGCTGGAGGAAACTGTGTGTGTTCAATTCTAACAGGAAGAGGTTTAACTCTATAAAAGGTGTTCAACAACAAAATCACTTAGTGAACACAACTCTGTATAGGACAGGTACTTTGCATGATGTATTAGCTGAGCTGATGCATAGTCATATATTATGTCTATGACAGACAGACTAATTCCAGTATACCCCCTTGACTTGACCCGATTTAACCCTTAAATCCCTGATGATGCATAGATGCATCACGGAAGTAGAAATATTTTTAGTGATACGAACCTACTGAAACACAATCAGATTTTTGTCTTACATGTAAGAAATGGTATTTGAGAAAAGATTAAGGAAATTCAACCTGGTATAAGGCTTAAATCATCTTTTTTACGCAATACTTGTTTGAATTTGTGATACAAAGAACTTCCGGCCAGACGGGTGCGAGTGAATAACAAATTCCCGGGAAATAAATCACAAAGGCAATTAAAATTTGAAGTTCTAAGACCGATTTTTCCGTGACAGTGTATCTTACCTGATGTTGTTTTCCCGGAGAATCATACAGAATGTAGGACGGCCATACAACTTCCAGCATTGGGACAGGAAGGCCAAGTCATTCTGAAATATTCATAATTGTGATAGTTTTCAACTATCTGTCAACTTACAATGATAAGTTTCTTAATAATCCTTCACTTTCACAACACTGTTAAAAAACACTTATGATTCACACCAATGTGAATGAAAAAGTCCAGTCATATACTTTTAAAGGGGTTTAACCATTCCATAAGTGAGTATACAAGATATTGAAGCAACACTTTTCTCCTGGACTGGTGTTGACATGTGTTAAAATATTGACTGAAGTTCATCTGTACATTACAAATGGTTTTAAAAAGATGGGATAATTTACTATAATATATGTCCTCATATTAAAACCTAATGAACAACATTTGGGACATCCCATGTGTCACATTTGATCATGATTTTACAGTTAATAGATAACTAAATCAACTGACATAAAACCTGCAACACACTAAGGAATCCTGAAGAGTCTGTCTTGAAAGACAACATTTTCGATCACTACCGTTTAAACTGCCACATCTGTCACTATTATAGAAACTTTTCAAGACAGACCACTTCGATCTCTACAGTATAAAGCTGCCAAGAGAGAACACCAATAATTATGTTAATACAGTAGAGCCTGTCAATATAGTAGAACCTGTCTTGAGAGGCCACCACTTCTGTCAATACAGTAGAACCTGTCTTGAGAGGCCACCACTTCTGTCAATACAGTAGAACCTGACTTGAGAGGCCACCACTTCTGTCAATACAGTAGAACCTGTCTTGATAGGCCACCACTTCTGTCAATACAGTAGAACCTGTCTTGAGAGGCCACCACTTCTGTCAATAAAGTAGAACCTGTCTTGAGAGGCCACCACTTCTGTCAATACAGTAGAACCTGTCTTGAGAGGCCACCACTTCTGTCAATACAGTAGAACCTGTCTTGAGAGGCCACCACTTCTGTCAATACAGTAGAACCTGTCTTGAGAGGCCATCACTTCTGTCAATACAGTAGAACCTGTCTTGAGAGGTCACCACTTCTGTCAATACAGTAGAACCTGTCTTGAGAGGCCACCACTTCTGTCAATACAGTAGAACCTGTCTTGAGAGGCCAACACTTCTGTCAATACAGTAGAACCTGTCTTGAGAGGCCACCACTTCTGTCAATACAGTAGCACCTGTCTTGAGAGGCCGCCACTTCTGTCAATACAGTAGAACCTGTCTTGAGAGGCCGCCACTTCTGTCAATACAGTAGAACCTGTCTTGAGAGGCCACCACTTCTGTCAATACAGTAGAACCTGTCTTGAGAGGCCACCACTTCTGTCAATACAGTAGAACCTGTCTTGAGAGGCCACCACTTCTGTCAATACAGTAGAACCTGTCTTGAGAGGCCACCACTTCTGTCAATACAGTAGAACTTGTCCTGTGAGATCCTCCCTTCTGTCACTATAGAACCTGTCTTGAGAGGCCACACTTCTGTCAATACAGTAGGTGTCTTGAGAGGCCACCACTTCTGTCATACAGTAGAACCTGCAGAGGCAAAAGAACCAGAGGCCACCACTTCTGTCAATACAGTAGACTTGTCCTGTGATCCAGAACATTCTTGAGCTGGCACAAAAGAACCAGTCTAGATAGACTATCCATTGCCATTAGGGAAGAACCTTTGTTGAGAAGACCACTTCATCTATCATTACAATGGGAACTGCCTAGAGAGAACACCACTTTTTTTACTACAGTAGAACCTGTATTGGGAGACCATCCCTTCTGTCACTGCAGTAGAACCTGTCCTGAGAGACACCCCTTCTTTCTGTCACTATAGCAGAGCCTGTCTTGAGAAATCACCACTTCTTTCCATAAACAACAGAACTTGTCTAGAGAGACCATCAACTGGCATTCAGATAGAAGCTTTCTTGAGGAAACCACTCCATCTTTCATTACAGCACAACATGTCTAGAAAGACCACTCACCTCTTCCTTCACTAAAATATAACTTGTCACCAGAGACATGCAATCCATCTGACACTACAATAGAAACTGTTCTAGAGAGACCAATATAACTGTTACTACTTTAGAACCTGTCTAGAGACAACATTTATGGTTTAACTCAACAAATTAAGATTTCTATGTAATGACAAAATGATAACAAACCAAATGTGTGAATTATAATGACAACAGAAATAACCTAAGGAGGCCATTACATCTCTACTGTGCAGGAGCTATGACTGTGACACTCTGAGGTGATTATCTGGTAGAGCGTTAGCATGCACACAAGTTTTATCAGACCATAATTTACAATAGAAAAACATCTGCATGCACAATAGATTCTTGACAATCATTTGATATTTCTGAAATTTGCATGGGAGTAACATGTTGATGGAAACAAGAGTACCGCAAAGCGGAACAAAATATGCCCGTGAATATCCAAAACAGCAAAGGGGCATAACTCTTATTCAAATCGTCTAATCAAAACCCCATTCAGGAAAACACAATTTCATATCATGGTGATTAAGCCTACCAAGTTTGATAAAGATTGGCTGAAAAATGTTGGAGGAGATCTCCGGACAAGATTTCTATAGTGAAATAAACAAAGGGCCATAACTCTTGTTCAAATCACCAAATCAAAACCCGTTCAGGAAAACACAACTTCATATCATGGTGATTAAGCCTACCAAATTTCATAAAGATCGGCTGAAAAATGTTGGAGGAGATCTCTGGACAAATAAAAGTTTACATCTTTGGACGGGCGTATAAAATGGAACCAATGGAAACATTTATGTTTGTATACATTGTTAAAAAATAAAAAGTCCATTGAAATACATATCTTTAATCAACAAAAAGATTTTCACACAAGTTTAAAATAAACAAGTTGATTGCAAGTGGCATGGTGAAAAGCTATTGTTGCAGCCATTCAATGTTGATAACCTGAATAACCTTACATGATCAACACAGCAACATTAGCAGTGGCAAATATATTTGATCACTTCATTACAATTAAGATAGGATATTTGTGTACATGAAATCAAAATGATACCATTAATTTTTTCCAAAGTACTTCATAATGTTTTTTCAGTTTTGATTTTTTAATTCACTAAAATTTGATTATAGGTTTTATCAAATCACAATAAATTTAATTGATATTGCTTCAGATTTCCAAATATAATATGTACATAATGCAGGAAAATAAATCTCCTGAAAATGGAGTAAAGTCCTGGAAACATTATAGGCCTAGTGAAACACATTTGCAGTGACAATAACCAATTTGAAACGACAAAAGGTATTTTTTCTGACTTTCATTGATTTAAATTCATTTACAAACCAATGAATATCAAATAATATCAATGAGTTAATTTTTTACAGTAAAAAGAAAAATGGCCTTCAAGATTAAATATTTCTTTTTTACCCCAGGATTTTGACTTGACTTTCAGGATTTCTGGGAGTAACTGACTGGATATTTATCTCCTGAATGTCATGATATATGAGGTTTCAAGAGTACAACATTGACATCAAAACAAATTATAATGCAGGACTATACAGACTACAGACAATGTACAGGGATACTGTGGGCAGCTGTGGAGGTAGCTAACTCACTGGTCTATAAGTGCCTATCATAAACAGGTATCTACAGTCTGTTGTAAACATATGTATGGAAATAGGTGTTTACAATGTATAACTTGTTTTTCTCATTATTTTACATTCATTATCATAAACCCCCTGACATTTCTTAGGCATTTGTGCACATTTTTATATTTAATTCCAACAAAGTCAACATCCATTAAGATTACTGGTTAATCTATAAGACATTGACTATGTATGTACAGAACTGTATCGATATGAGAGATGCTTACTCAAGTCAGGAGAGAGATAATTCACACTGTCTGTTCCTATATAGTACAGGGTAAATGGTTAGTAGCCATAACTCAGGATGGCCAGCACATTCTCGCAGAAACATGTGAATAAGCTACAACAGCCACAGCCAGGATACTAAAGATATATACCAGTTACACTTACCCTCTGGTAGTGTTAGACGTGACAACAAAAACCATGAGTCACATACACATAGACACATGACACATAAAACGTAGGTTTTCAAAGACATAAACCTTTTTATAATTACGATAGTTGCTCTTATATTTCAACCATATGTAGCTATATTGTCATAAATCCTTGTCTGAATTCAGAATTATATCCAGATCAGATCCTGTGTGTAATAGGTATGAAGGAGGTAACAATTTCATTAATGTTTCAGTGTTGTAATTGTAACAAGAATAAGAAGGATGAACTTGTTATTTTTTTGACAAATAATTTATGCTCAAACTTTTAGCTTTAGTGTGTGTATGCAATCCAGCATATCTATAGCTAGGGCTGTGACGATACACTGATGTCATGATACAATACCTACAGCGATATCTATCCATGATATACATTATGATATAACAAGTAGATTTTAACTTGAATTGCTGTGGTGACTTGAGCCCTCAATCATTGTTCTCTCCCCAAAAAGTTCCTAAAGTGCCACCATATTAGAACTTGCAACTGTACACTGCTTTATTGTCAGCATATAACAGAAATGTCTAAAAGGCGAACGCCTGAATTTCTTAATTTCAACTTTGCCATATTGTATGCTTGGTTGTATCAAAATTTACAATGTTGATAGCTACTAGGCTATGTAAACTTACAAACTAATCAAGTTTTACATTCCATAAATGGGCTTATTTCTTGGAATATTAAAAATTGATACATGGAACAAAGAATCTTGTACTGAACCAGAGCAATATATTACAATTTTCAGTTTACTTTGATGTATCGCTACAGCCTTCTCTACAGCATCATATCGTGTGTCATATTGTGTGTTATATCATGTGTCATATCGTGTGTCATATTGTGTGTCATATTGTGTGTTGTATCGTGTGTCATATTGTGTGTCATATTGAAACACGTGAGCAAACTAATGACTATATTTACTTATGACATTGAAGTTTCTTTGATTAGAATGGTCGGACAGACAACAAATTATACACAAAATGACTCTACCTTTGGAATTTTAGATACAGATTTTGGTATACATAAGTTTAAACAGACCTTCTAAAAAACTAGATTTATCTGGATTAAAATTTCTCATGAAAATGCTGAACTTGTCGACATATGGAACCTGCATTGTTGAACGTCCCAGTCACAGTGGTACTTACCTTGAGGTCATCCAGGACAATGGACATGTCTTGAGCCAAGTAGAAATCACTGACCTCAAACAGGAGAGGATAGCACAGCACAGTCTGTCCTCCAACACGGTAAATCTGGAGCCAGCAAAAGATTGTTATTATCTACTTTATACAAAGCACTGATTCTGAAATCTATCAAGGTTTGTAATTTGTATAAAACACAGTAAATCTGTAAAAGTTTGTTGTAGTGAGAATTACATATCACAGAAAATCTCAAATACATCAATGTTTGTAATAGATACACAGTAAATCTGTAAAAGTTTGTTGTAGCGAGAATTACATATCACAGAAAATCTCAAAAGCATCAATGTTTGTAATAGAGTAAATTTAACATCTATGAAAGTTTGTAGAAGCAGAAAATATAAATCAGAAAAAATCTCAAGTGGATCCAAGTTTGAAATAAGCAATCCTGGGTAAAACAGCCACCACATCTTCCAAGATTGAGTTCTTCACTTCATAGCACTCATCAACATGTTTTGCTCTGTTCAGGCTTCATCAGTTTGTAATGGATACACAGTAAATCTAATGTCCATGAAAGTTTGTAGTTTGAGTAGAAATTAGAAAATCTCCAGAGTATCAAAAGTTTGTAACAGATACACAACACAGTCTGAAGTCTTTACTAGTTTGAAGCAGTAAAAGGTCAAATCACATACTACTGTACCAAGAACTGTAGACTGTTCTGGGTGTTAATTTTGAGAAATTCTAATTCTTATTCATATTTTTGAGGACAGATTAAAATCATGAAAACTAGATGCATTGGAAAATAAAATGAATAGAGGAAACAGTCAATTTCATTTCATCCAGTAAAATATACTACATCATTTTTGCTTCAAGCTAGCAGTAAAAACTTGTCATAAAAAACATAGCCTGTTATGATATCAAGGTCAAGTTTACCTTTGATGTGCTGAGAACTCCGAAGGGACGTTTGGGTCGACCAGAGAGGCCAAGCTTGTTGTTGATGCCCAGGTATTCATAGGCCTTTGTTAGCTCCTTGGGGGACCATATCTGTATTGGCTCTATCTGGTTAGGAGTCTGAGTTTGGATGCCATAAGTAGCTAACACCTGCTGCAGTCGTGAACTTTCTGCTATGAGTGCCACCTGTACCACAAGATCAGGAGGAGTGACCTGGAATTTAAAATTATGAAGGTTTACAATTTCAATATAAATTATGACAAAGACAAAGCCAAGTGCACCGAGCGCAGCTATCAGGTATCTTATTGTGGTGAACAAATCTTTAGGGCAAGCTTTAAAAGTGGCACACTTGCTAATACAAGTGTTAATAAAAAACATCAACCAAGACCATTCTGTTAATATTTATAACTTTTCACAACATTTATTTTACCGCAAAATTCGTGCATCCTGGGGTGGAACAATCCTACCAGGGTTATTCATGTATGTAGAATGGACCTACAAGCCTAAATGAAACCTTTAACCATCTGTATTAATAATTGCATGTCCACCTCTATTTATTCCAGATATGTAATTTTTAAAGTGCAAATGAATACAGATGAGGTGTGAAGTTGTTTACCTGGAATGAGGAGTACCTCATGCTGTTAACAGGTCTTTCTGAGGCAGGCAGATGGCGTCTAATTGGGTCTAGTTCCATCACATTCAGCAGCCCTCCCACTATGTAAAAACAACAAATCTTATCATCCATGTACATTAATTTTGATGTCTTTAGTTTCATCATGTACATGTAAAGACTCTTTAAATCATCTTTTTTACTATTTTGTACACATTTTGACAAGTTATCAAACTGATACTAAATAGTCTTGGAAATTATCTCAAAAATTTAACGAACCAATTACAAGTTCAAGATGTGTTTTTTTTTTTCAAACAAGCAGCCATATTTGATGGCTATTTTTATCCAGATCATCTCAGGATCATTCCAGACAAGTTTGATCTGAATCTGAAGCAAAGTCTTGTAGATGACACTTAACTACAGTCAAAACAAGATGACCTTTTTTTAAGTCATCCTGATCACTCCTCATCCCCTCAAAAAAACACCCAGGCACATATTTATTAGTAACAGTAACTGGTACTAACTTAGCAATTGTGATATAAAGTAGATGGATTGTCCCCACAAAAACACCCCATCTGTGGAGCCCTCAGCACTAGGATACCACTCGGCAGTGCCCGGTCTCATGTTACGCTCCAAATCTAGATGTTCCTTCGGTACAAAGTAGAACATGGGCAACAAGTCTCCTGTAATATGATTAAATTAAACAATTGAAATATCAGCTGCAATTAAAATAGAAACAGTCAGCAGTTTAACAAACATTGTAACAAACCTAATTCATCCCACAATTTTGGCTTCATGAAAATTCTTACTCCAACAAATTTTTTGTTTTACGACTATCAAAACACAGAATAAATCAAGGTGATATCATATTTGTGAGTTAGATAAGGGATTGTAATGCAGTAAAATGATTACCTGTCAATGTAGCTGAAATGGTCTATACCCCTTATAAACGACACAAGTATGTATGTATGACTGATAAATGGTAATGAAAAATTTTATCATAAAGTTCAACAACCAGAGCTCTCATATTGTACACATATCAAATCACAATAAAGTCAAGTCACCAAGGAAAAACCTGGTAAAATAGTTCAGAGATAAATTCATAAATGCATGTAAATATTATTTTGAGTCATTATTAATGACTAATTGAGAACTTACCATCATTACTCTTCCGGAGCAAGGGGTTAATGAGATTGGTGTAGTGTTCTATTCCTTCCTTATCATTGCGGAATATATCTGTGGACAAAAACATGTCACATGATTGAAAATAAACAATTGTATTTGAAGACAATATCTCTGATTGTGGATTTAATGAATCAAATTACAATTGCTACATGGTTACAGGAATCAATCCTATATCTGTACAGGGTCACAGGAATCAATTCTAGATCTCTACAGGGTTATAAGAGTCAATCTTAGACCTCTAAAGGACCATGATAGTCAATTGTACATCTCTACAGGATCATCAGAGTTAAGTCTAGATCTATATAGGATCATAAGAGTTAATCCCAGGTTTCTAAAGGATCATAAGAATCAATCCAAGACCTCTACAGAATCATCAATCAATCTGAGATCTATATCTTTACAGGACCATAAGAGTCTATCCAAGATTTCTTCAGGATCATTAGAGTCTATCCAAGATTTCTACAGGATCATTAGAGTCTATCCAAGATTTCTACAGGATCATTAGAGTCTATCCAAGATTTCTACAGGATCATTAGAGTCTATCCAAGATTTCTACAGGATCATTAGAGTCTATCCAAGATTTCTACAGGACCATAAGAGTCTATCCAAGATTTCTACAGGATCATTAGAGTCTATCCAAGATTTCTACAGGATCATTAGAGTCTATCCAAGATTTCTACAGGATCATTAGAGTCTATCATTAGAGTCTATCAAGATTTCTACAGGATCATTAGAGTCTATCCAAGATTTCTACAGATTTCTACAGGATCATTAGAGTCTATCCAAGATTTCTACAGGATCATTAGAGTCTATCCAAGAGTCTATCCAAGATTTCTACAGGATCATTAGAGTCTATCCAAGATTTCTACAGGATCATTAGAGTCTATCCAAGATTTCTACAGGATCATTAGAGTCAATCCAAGATTTCTACAGGATCATTAGAGTCAATCCAAGATTTCTACAGGATCATTAGAGTCTATCCAAGATTTCTACAGGATCATTAGAGTCTATCCATCCTCTCTCATTAGAGAAGATATCATTAGAGTCAATTTCCAGATTTCTAACGGATAATAAGAGTCAATCCTAGATCTCTATAGGATCATAGGAGTCGATCATCTCTAGTCATAAGTAAGTATTTCTGAGATTGAGAAGAGAGTCTCATTCCCTTAGGTTTTTTTAAAGGATCAAAAGAGGATTTCATTGCTTTTGTGGGACATTATGGAGCTTATTTTCCAAGAAAGGTTCAATAATATCTTGATTATCAAATAACATCTACTTTTCAGAATTATTAAGACTGCCTGGAGGGCATTGAATACTTCTGAGGGAGAAAGCGTTTTGCCATACTTACTGTCCATGAGGAGATATACAAAGAACAATGGCCATTCACACTCTATCCCATCAAACAACTGAAAATAAATAAGGCATCGAAATGTAGAAAAGCAGTTTCATCAGGCATAAGGGAGACAACTCTCAGTAATCACTGATGTTAACAAGTTGCACCAGTACACTACAACCTAAATATTTTCAGGAGGAAATTGTTTATCTACTCTATCTTGATACTGATCACCACAGTTCACCATTATGGAAAAAACTTGACCACTCTGAACATATGTACAGTATAGGAAAAAAATGTAATTGACCTATTACCTATCATTACCTTTCAGAACTTTTGACCAGTTAATGACCTTGACCTTTCACTGATACTAATATGTTAACTGTAACAGACTTTAACCTGTAACTGACACATTACCAGTAACCTGTTAAAGACTGATCAGTAACTGACCTTTATCTCAGCTGGTCTGTAATGTTTTCTGGTTTTATCCTCCAACACTGTCCGATAACCATCGCGTAAGAAGCGCTTGACTCCATGGTTTCCTTTGAGCTTGCGTACGACCTTGTCTATTGTACGATGTTTGAGAGGTTTCTTATGTATAGCGAAAGCTGGCCAGCTGACAGTAGGTAGGAGGGATGCATCAGTGTTCTGTGGCAAAAGTCAACTTTGCAGTCACTGACAATATTCTTTTTAGACATAGTTTAAGAATCAGTACTCAAACATTGATTGGTAATGTTTGAAAGTAATTAGGTATAATAATATATAACAACTTTGCTATCATGCTATTAATGTAGAATTACATTATTCTAGAATGAAATGGTTAACTAGCTTAATGTAATCATTAGTATAGTACAGTGAATGGATTAAAAAGTACTGATTCAGAAATAGCATCCATTCTTAAATTTGGTATCAATGGCTATATCTGGAATGTACCTTAGAGTTAGACTCTCGAGGAAGAATAGTTTCAAATATTGTTCTGTTTCTGTTGTGAGCATCTATATCAACGTAGATGACAGACCATACAGCCCCTTCAGGTCCATACAGGTTTTCTCCATTTATAGCCTCCAAGGCAGCTTTAGCAAACCCTATAGAACTGAACAAATCATAAAAATTATACCTCGAAATCAATGTTTATCTGGAACAATTGTTCTTTTCTGGGACTCAAATATATGGTAACATAATGAGTGGCAACATTGTCTGACATTTGTAAACTCTTTCTTTACTATTGTGTCTCTGATTGGACTAATCACTTGTTGCCTGGGCACACTCTTGCGATAACATACCAGGTATAGTACTAGTGAGATAAAATGAATATAAAATGTACCTGACATGGACCTCTGTATATGTATGTGATGTGAGTCTCTTTATACATATCTGGGTACCTGGTGTGAACTTTCGTGTACATACCTGGCATGGACCTCAGTAGACCCATTGTTGTATTTACTGCCCCTCTCCCACATGCCATAGTCAGGAGTCCGGTAGGCACGTTCCACATAGAACACCAAGTTCTGTATAAAATTTACCTCGTCTGTTGTGTAGATCACCTGCCAATGAAATCCTTAACAGTCATTACTTTAGATTGGAAGGATTCACAATCTACTTTTAGATTTATTTGGCTTTTATCAATAGATCAGATACTGTATAATTGTTCCATGTTTGGTGTCAATTCACTAGGACTACATTTCATGCTATGCTGCCTGTAAACTGGCAGATACACATATCTATTCTGGAAAACAGTATAAAGACAAACCATGATAATTTGTCATACTATCCAATTCTTACTGAAACAGGTACAAACTAGATTTGGTGTAACTTAATATTCAGCTGTTGTGCTATCACTCAGACACAAGTCTGAGACCTACCAGGTATATTGTTATATAAAATTAATATGTATTGTCATATGAAAGTATCCATTTTAATCTCACTAGGAAACTTCTGACTTCCCACTAAACTGACTAAACACAGATATAAACTGTTAACAACATACAATGGTCATCAGTTTCTTGGATTTAAAATATTGTAAATCACTAAGACTTCGTGGACTCACCTCTGCAGACATATTTGTGAATACATGATTTCACAAACGCTGATCTAGAAATGACATTGAATTCGTCAATGATGAGCTATTAGAGACATGGACTCTTTAAAGCTCCAATATGGGCAACCAACAGATTCATATTGGATGCAATTTTGCTTAAGAGAGTCATGTGACTATACATAAAATGTGATTTAGTCATGTGATACACGTATGTCCATAATGAATAGAACTTACTTGAGCACAAGCTAGTACACAGACAAAAGAAATGAACGTGAACACTCCACGTGCTTTTTCGTTTGAAGAGTGATGTGAGTTGTTTTCAGTGTAAGATGACAGGACTTCAATAGCCCAGACGTTTGTGAGTGCAGTGATTAACATTGTGCTTTGCTACACCTTTATACTAATTGTACAGCACTCATCCAAGTGGTAATGTCATTAACAGTTTTTCCTGCTGTGCATTTTGTAATTCAATCAAAAGAGGTCTTTTGCATGTTATAACCTCTGTTATTGTAAACATTTAAGCACCTCTCCAACACAGAAATAGCATCGGGGATTTACAATTACCTGGTATATCTATTGTGGCACATATGTGCTCAACCTCTGCCCTCTGACCTATAGATGTAAATTTAAATGATGCCAATTGGTCAAGTTCTGCTGGGGATGTTGTTTAAAAGTAAAGAGTTATAAAGATGTTTGATTTGAAAGTAATATATGTCTAGCAGATTTGGTTATATGATATGATAAGGTATAAAATATAATGGAAGTGTAAACATAAATAAAGGTTGACAACAGGATTACAATGATGGCATCAACAGATTGGTACAAATAATCATGGGTGATTTATATTTCCAATTGACTCTCCTCTCGTATTATTGCAAAAATAAATACCATCCTCCTAAAATATGTTTCTTATACAATGAGTTATTGCGGTTCTCTAAGCTGTTATGTGTAATCTTACCTTCAATCCTGACCGAATCATCTGAACCAAGTATATAAGATAGAGTCCCACCACATCAATCTACAAACAAGAAAGCATCTGTTTTATGTTTGGAAAACAATTATTTAAAACTTTGATGAGTAAACAATGCTGTTACACATAAACTAAATAAAATTACTAAATACATCCGTGATGTACCAGACAATTGTCTGACTTTGTCACTTTTGTTGCAATATAATCATTATCTTATATCCATTTCCACTGTAAAGATGACAAATATTTATAAGGGTATAACTCACCATTAATTAACTAAATAAAATACTTCTAAACTACAGTATTGAAGGTAAACTAACATCTCACCTTGTTTACCCAGTTCACCTGAATTCAATTTTTCAATTTCAGTTTCATTCTCTTTCACAAAATAAATTGTACAGAGAAACATATCTACAATAATATTTACAAACAGAGTAGTTTTCCAAACCAATATATGATATTTTGTTAATAATGCCGTTAATATGACACAAGTGATGTCTATAGTATAGTAAAGTACAATAGGTAGGCTAGGACATATGCTATGTATGATATGTATATGAGAGTATAACCTTGTTGACCTGATTGTATGTGAGAGAATGACTATGTTGATCTGTATGTGAGAAAATGACCTTGCAGAGTTTACCTGTAGATGTCCATATTCCTCATCACTGTACACTGGATCCCCTGTAACTATATCAAACACAGAGTGAAGGGCATATGATGAACTCTGGTTTAACTTGAATTTCTCGACCTGAAAATCATCACAAAAAAAACATGTCATTTTTCAGTATATTCCACTAAGTGTCTAAAACAACCATCACATGGTTTCGGAAATATTATTACACTTGCGCAATAAATGAATTCATTATGATTGATTTTCATCACTGTTAAAACTTGTTTAACACAACAATTTACATACTTCACAGTACAAAAATTGGATTGTTCAGAATGACATTTGTTAGTTTCGTATAGAAACATTTTGAAATGCAGTTTAACTCACAAACAGTGACTGAAAATTGTACTTTAATGGCTTTCCAAAATGTACATTTCCTTTATTGAGCAAATGAGTTCACAATTCAGCGAAATGATGTAAGTGTAAAATGAATTGTATAAACAAGGTATCAGCTTGGACAAATGTGGTAACAAATTAACATGACTTGGCCATTTAGACTCACCTTGTCTGCCTGTCTTATCCAGCAGAAGAGAATTCCTCGCATACACTTTACTGCTGCCATGGACAACTCATGTATCCGTCCCTCATCATCATCAATTTTCCTATCAACGGAAAATAACACTGCATTTTAAGTGGGTTTTTTTAGTTAAATAAACTTGCTACAGAAAAAAAGTGAAATAGAATAGTGTGGACTGTAATTATTAAAGGTTTGTAGAAATAATGCTTGTGTTCACAATATCAATTTTTATAAGTGAACGACTGAAGTACCTGTATGCCTGTGACAATGCCCATGTGGCCACAGCACAGTAGATGCTGTCTCGCACATGAGCGATCTTAGCTTGTTCTCCATCTCTCCCAATGGCAGGAAATAATCCCAATACGCAGCCCTGGTACTTTAAAATCTGACGCTTCACTGTGATTAAAACAAATGTCAGGCCATAAAATCTGTCTAATCTCGGATCAATAAAATTGCCCAGATCCACAACCAAATTATTACCAAACAGTGAATATCTTTCAATAATTGAAGGGTGTAGTATCTTTAACAAACTCTTCAATGTCAATTTGATCTTATATAATAATAATTAACAATAACTGGGATTATTTTTACACAGCCTGTTAATATATAACAGAAGTTTTATTCTTCCAATACTCTTGCAGTATCATGAAGCATTTCCAAAAATGGAAGAGCAATTATGGATGAAGCCGTAAATAAATGTCATGCATCATGTAAATATAACTAAGCTTGTAAAAAGTAACCTAATCTTAACTGACCTATATATACACATGAAACACATTTGCCAACTATAAATTGAACTTTTTGTTTAAACTTACATATTATGTACTGTTCGTGTAATCTTTTCGATAATAAATCCTGCTCAACAGATTGGACAGACATTTGTCTAGTATATCCTACACGACCGTCAAGTCGCTTCAGCTTAGATCGACGACTTTCAGTGACCTCACTCATGTTTCAGGTCAGTTGTGTTGGCCTTGAGACCTTGCTCCCAATGAGATTAATATCAATACAACATATACTTGAAGTCGAAAAGGGGAATTGGGGTTGAGGAGAAAAGCGATTAAAGAAAATAGCTAAGTATCGATCTTCATGGTTTGATATTTGATAATTCTTGAGAGCTTCGACTCCTTTTTGACAGACTGGCACATGGTTATGATATCAAGCAAATGTCAGATAAACTTCCGGTATGATTAACCTTCACAGTCATTGGCGCGTTTGAAAGTTAAGTTCGGAGATAGTTAACTTGCCGAAGCTGTCATTCGACACAGATTTCTGCCCAAACTGTATGTGTGGGGCAATCATGTTGCAAAGCAATGTTTTCTTGTGTATTATAATCATAATTGTCTCAATATTTTCAACTCCGGCTAGAGCATCATTGAGAGATGTTACTTCAGAGGCTTTTGGACCTAATTTTAAGGGTGTCACTGCTGCGTTTGGGGATTTCAATGCCGATAAAAACATTGATATTTTTGTGATAACAGATGGAGGTAGGCCACAGTTGTTATAATATAAACGACTATCTAAAACTAGGCTAAGGATAGACATATCTGAGCTATTGACTGGGATTTGTGGGTTGATGACATTTGCTGTTGATATTTTGATGTTTCACGGTCTCCATCCTTTTGTGAAATAGTAGCTGGTCACAGACTTCAAGATCAAGGGTGACGGGCAATGTGTTTTCAGGGTAGTCAGATAAAAGTACATTATAATCAATTATGTTGTACTGTATTGTGTCATATATTTATTTATTTAAATGTAGTTTACTTACAACTTATATGTAGTGTATTACTATTTTGATTACGTTAATTCCCCAACTTGAACTGGAAGCTTTCAAATGCTAATCAAAAATGAAGAAATGTCAGGTGATTCAAATTTGAGCATTTTTCAAGATTTGACAAGGCCATGCATATGGTACGGCCGATAATAGTTTGACCCTGGCGACATTGGTGTTTTACGAATGTCAAAATCACAATCTTAAAATCATAATGTTGAAAAGGAATGATTTTTATAGAAAGAGACTGATGTTTTTCCAATTTATTACTGATATTGTGAATGAAGTAATGTATACACAAAATTTTTAAACAATTTCATTTTGTTGGAACTTAACCAGGATATATTATCTGTAAAAAAAGTTATATTTCTTATTTCAGGAACCAGTGTCCAAGTTTTACTTACATCTATGGAAAATGAGCCATTTAAAAGTGTCACTTTGTTGAAAAACAGCAGCAGCATTGGAATTATCAGCAATGTAGTTCCTGCTGACTTTGATGGAGATACTCAAATGGATTTGTTGGTCACTCGTAAAGTCGACACATCCACAAAATACAGTGTTAAAGTTCAAATTTACTGGGGTATGCTGACCACAGACAGTCTAGGTAATGTAAATGGTTAATGGGTGTCTTTTAGTTATAATGAGAATGTTACTATAATAGACCTAGTTGATTATTATACTTTACATGGTACATTTACATGTATAACCTAGCTGAGTTAGAGATATCATTTCTGACACATTACATTTTTAATTTGTCTTGAAATAAATTTTCATATAAGCTTGTGGAATTTGGGACTTTGTAAAGAGATAAACTATTATTTTGATAGATATATTTTGGCATTTGATAATTTCATATATTAGATAAATCATTTTTATATGTCAAATTGGCAGATATTAGTTAATGTTGAAGTCCTTAACAAGGTTTTGGGATATTTGCTGATTTGCCACAGAAATTGCATTGTGGTTTTTTCTTGATGAACGTGGTTGAATTTCTTGTTTTCCAGACAGTACTTAAATTTAAACAAGAAGGTAGATTCATTTCCACACCATGAAGATTGAATCATTATTATATATATGTAGCAGTGCTTTATGAACAAATTGGAATTAAACAATGAATTTATTCTTTGTACATTGATTACAGAGTCAGATCCATTGACATTATCAGAAACCTTTGATGACCAGCCCCTATTATTGGAGTAAGTATAAATGTTAATTGTATGTTTGTGTTAATCACCTCAGAGTTACATAACTTTGTAGCTAAACAGCAGCTGTAAGTTCCATGTTTCAGCTTGGTTGTTTCAGAATTCCATTTTAGATGATTTCTACAATGTTTTAAGTGTTTTAATAGGCTTATATTTTAATTGATTTTGAGTAAAAGTGAGAAAGGATTTTCTTAATTATGTGTATAACATTTACACTCCCCATTACTATCAACCTTGATTGATTCTGTATATTTCTTAACCATTTAAATGTGTTGCCACACATACAAGACCCTCAGTAAATTTTGATCCCAATAACACTTGTTTATGTTCAGGTAAGGTTGATATTGTATCCTTTTCTGATACTTGTACTTAGCCACCCTGCATGCCATAGGTATCAAGCTGGAGAGTGAAGGAACCCACAACCCACCCAACAAAATGAACAATGTTGGCTCTATTACTTAAAGTCCTTTTTTATGTATATGTATTATCTGTATGAAAAGTTTATGTAGTTATAATTTTGGTAACAAATTCAAGTTTTTGAGATAACATGCTTTATGTTAATGACTTTTTCAGTGCAAATGGTGATCTCATACCTGATCTTCTTGGTGAGCAGGATGGAAATGCCTATTATTGGATATTCAAGTAAGTACTTATACATCTACCTATTCGTAATATCTTATTTGGCATTGATTTTATTATCTTTACAATGTATCTTATTATTGGATTCCTGCTGGTTTGAGGTCATAGTTTTGGGGTTTAGTCATTAGAATGAAATGTAGAATAAAAATCGAAGGTCCAGAGCTTTGAAAATTTAATTTCATGAAAACCTCTGATGATCATACATTTGTAAATATACTGTTTGTTTTATGCCTAAAATTGGATATGAAGCTTGTGATAATTTAAAGTTCAAAGTCAAGAGGAAAAGTCTATCAGGGCTATTTCACTGTATATATAATTTAAACTGTAACAGAATTTTAATCCATTGATATAATTTACGTGATAATCGTTTTGTTAGAATGACACATTGTATATGTTAAAAGTAGGTAGATTTCTTGAGGATTTGTTGCTGATTGGTAAATATGATATTTTCATATTGTTATAGTCAGGGAGACAGAGGAAACATCACCAAGCAGGCTGTCATTACTCCATCAGTAAAACTGAATCTCACGAAGCCTCAGTCCAGTGGTTTTGTGGACGTAGATGGTGACCTTACAGCAGGTAAAAATGTGCAATTAAACATCTTTATATGTTACATTTGACCCAATATTCCTGTACACTATTTCAGTGACACCTGACTCAGTATTCCTATACACTATTTCTGTGACACATGACCCTGTACTCCTTTACACCATTTCTGTGACACCTGACTCAGTATTCTTCTACAATATTTCTGTGACACATGACTCTGTATTCCTATACACTATTTCTGTGACACATGACCATGTATTCCTTTACAGCATTTCTGTGACACCTGACTCAGTATTCTTCCACACTATTTCTGTGACACAACTCCTGTGATACATGACTCTGTATTCCTCTACACTATTTCTGTGACACATGACTGTATTCCTATGCACTATTTCTGTGACACATGACTGTATTCCTATACACTATTTCTGTGACACATGACTCTGTATTCCTCTACACTATTTCTGTGACATATGACTCAGTATTCCTATACACTATTTCTGTGACACATGACCCTGTACTCCTTTACACCATTTCTTTGACACTGACACATGACCCTGTATTCCTTTACAGCATTTCTGTGACACCTGACTCAGTATTCTTCCACACTATTTCTGTGACACAACTCCTGTGATACATGACTCTGTATTCCTCCACACTATTTCTGTGACACATGACTGTATTCCTATGCACTATTTCTGTGACACATGACTGTATTCCTATACACTATTTCTGTGACACATGACTCTGTATTCCTCTACACTATTTCTGTGACACATGACTGTATTGATATGCACTATTTCTGTGACACATGACTGTATTCCTATGCACTATTTCTGTGACACATGACTCTGTATTCCTCTACACTATTTCTGTGACACATGACTCTGTATTCCTCTACACTATTTCTGTGACACATGACTGTATTGATATGCACTATTTCTGTGACACATGACTGTATTCCTATGCACTATTTCTGTGACACATGACTCTGTATTCCTCTACACTATTTCTGTGACACATGACTGTATTCCTATGCACTATTTCTGTGACACATGACTCTGTATTCCTCTACACTATTTCTGTGACACATGACTGTATTCCTTTACACCAGTCCTGTGACACATGACTCTGTATTCCTATACACTATTTCTGTGACACATGACTCCGTATTCTTCTACACTATTTTTGTGACACATGACTCAGTATTCCTTTACACTATTTCTGTGACAATTGACCAAGTATTTCTACTACATTAGTAATCAACAAATGATTCTGGATTTCTTATCTATGAAACTTCTATTTTTATAATCCTGTTGACATTTTCTGCAACAGATACTTTTCATCAAACACTGATTTCACTTTTTCTGGGTAACTAGCACAATTATTTTTTCTAAGTAGTTAAAATGTGTTTTATCAGGTGTGAAATACAGGCCCCATGAACCTGTTTTATGTCTATATATTTCATTTAATGTGACATATGGGAATATTGCAAGTCATATTTCCAGATGATCACACTTATATACACTTATATTTCAATTAAAGATGATGCATATCCACAGATGGTACATACAGTAGCATATATGTAGGTATTAGGTATATAAATTGTTTACTATCAAAACACAATAAGTAACACTCTGCTGTTGTATGATTTTGTGTAAATTCTATGCTTGAGGTACTGTCCATTTAGCAGTGTATCGTTCTTACTTGTCATTTTTGTATTGACAGATATAAGTTTGGTGACTGACAAAGGAATTGAACAGTGGAATAATGTGGTGAGTTAAACAGATATATTGGGTAAGATTCCATGTTGAAGAAGCTGGCAGTTGCTCCTTGTAGTTCAATGGTTCATTCAATGGAGAGGACATTTGTTTGTCTGTGTAACGTAGGACAAGCGTCGGATTTAGGTGTTCAGAATTGAAAGCAAGAACGCATAGCAATTGTACTAGAAAATATTTACATTTTTTTTAATACAAATGCCATTAAAATAAAGGCATTGTCACGTGGCGGTCCATTTTACACTATCAAATATTCTAACAATATAACGCATATGGCGTCCACAGGCTGCCATACTTTTTTATACTGGCGTCAATTTCCAACCTAGTTTTCCCTGTTTATGGACATTTATGCAAAACATTACCATTTACGTTCTTCTATATACTGCATTTGACATATAATAATCACTACAATATATCTTCCGAAAAACTAGACATGGCAATACTAATATATCAACATACACGTTTACAACTCCTAATCAATCGCTATGCTTGATTGGACAGCACGCAAAGATATATATATATATAAGCTAGAAATACATTTAGCCGGAAAATAAGACATGTAAAGAACCAAATTAGTGAAATGAAAGATATGTAACAATATTAGTTACTCACCACAGTCTTAATCCATGTTAACCGATAACTCGTCTATAGGTAAAAACTACACAACCATTACTCATGGCATACCTTACCTGTCATTCCACACGTGTACTTCCGCCCTAGCCCTTACTAACATTCGTGCCATACAACTTACAAACATACAATCATACAGTCAGCTAATAAAGAAAATGTTTGAAATGTTCATATCCTACCTTGAGTGTTCAATCAAATGCAGCATAAAAATATAATAGATACAGGAAGTGTGGGTTTTGATGTAGAGAACCAGTAAAATAGAGTATATTACAACTTCATGCTGATTTTTAGATGATCGCAGATAAGTTCAACATTTTCAGACTTTGGGCATAACAAGATAATTATTTGTATTATTGCTTATGAAATATTATGTTTGTAGCATGGTGCATTCCACACAGATCACCCTGTTTTTGCATACCCCTCTGAGATGAAGGATGGCACCCGAGGTCAGGCAACATATGTGGATGTTGGTAGGTTGATGTATTAGATCAACAAAGTTTTCTTTGATATGTAATTTATTTGAAGCTAAATATGATAATGTAGCAGGTGTAGATTCTAAAGGATTTGTTTAGATTATTTTAAAATTCATATTATGTTCAGTGCTGAGTAATTAATCAGAACTGAGAAGTTACTTACAACTTTGTACAGTCAGACATTTTATGCATATCTTGCAATACAATTAATACAAGATACCCTTACATTGTCATCATCTGTCCGTGTGGCATCAACGTGTTCAGAATTTAAACATCCATTATTTTGACACCCATTTCAGGTTTCATTTTTGATAATGTACTGTGTTCAGTTTAACACAAAAACTTATTCAGAAAGTGTGGGAGGAAATTCATTGTTACCTCTGTTTTATGTACATAAATCTCATAATTTAGGATAAGATTTTTTTGTCCAGCAGTCTGCAAAGCCTCATACATATCTTTATCTTCAGGTCAAAATGTCTCTGTTTCTGTTAACGTTTGATATGATTAGAAATCATTATCTATGTGAAAACTTTACATATAGCTGAAGTAAGGCAGAAGTCACATTAAGTAAAGGCTTTAAATGAAATACTTGAAGACTAGGTTTGAAGCAAAAACCCACTCTTCAAATCTGCCCTAAATCTAAAAGAGACTGTCAAACCATCAGCAGCCATGATTAATCAGTCAAAGATGGAGATAGAATGACAAGTCATAAGGAAATTGGTGAAAAAAATGTCATTGATTGTATTGGTAGATGCAGACAGCAAGGTGGATGTACTGATGCCAAGTTGTGATGGAGATGTTTGTGACATCTGGGTCCTCTCAAAGCTTGAAGTAAGTTTCACAGATCAACCTTTGCATCTTGAATGATGTTCACATGTGATGTGATGCTTAGATTTCAGATCATGCAATAGTAGAATTGATAGTGCATTATATACAGAAGCTTTATCACTTATTGTAGTGCATTATATACAAAAGCTTTATCACTTATTGTACAGCTGTCAGAGAGAGAGTAGACCAATACTTGATGGAGATAACAGACTTTGTATACTATTCTCTTTTGCATATATTAAAATTTTTTTGGGATGCATGTGATATATTTGAATTAATTCCATGTTACAGGAAGATGTAAGAGACATTCAGAAATTAATATTTTCTTTTGCACCTATTGCAGTGGCATAAACTTGGTGTCAACTTTAACTCGGGTAGCGACACCATGTGGAGATTTGTGACTCCTGAAAAGAACCCTTCAGGGATGGAACAGCTTCCTGTCACATTGAGATCTGGGGATTTTGACTTGGATGGCTTCCCAGATCTACTGGCTGTACTCCAACACACCAAGACTGATGGGTAATATATACGTTTAGAGTGGTAGTTATAGAAAATATTCACTCAAGCATGTAGTGTGGTCCACCATGCAAGAATTTGTACAATCTCATCACTGGAAAATCACTTCTTTTCTCTCAACAAACTCAGTACTTTGTATCACTTAATGTCAACTTACAGACCGTTAATGTAGAGAGTTCATATATATCTGTATATGTACTCAATACCTAGGCCTGACCTGGTCTGTCCATTTCTGTATGGTTACATCACACCTCAGTGAGAGTTGAATGCATGATCATCAAGCACCTCTGACTGTGCATGCATTTCAAAGATAATTGTAGGTGTACATTGTAGCCTTACTTCCTTATACACCACAATTCCATGTTCTGTTATTTACAGCTAAGGATTAGAGCAGGCACTATTCCAAGACCTGATAATAGATGGACTGGTGATACATGTATATACTGATAAATGTATCATTTAATGTAATATTATAAACAGTTGTAGGGAAATCTACATTTATTTGACAAATTACCTTGATGATATATACTTGAGTAAACACCTGTTTGATCTTGTAATTGTAGGCTTTATTCATGAACTGAATAGATATTGAAAAATTATTAACACTAGAAGGGTTGTCATAACTTGAAACTGCTTAGAATAGTTTAATAAGGACAACTTTCGTTAATCATATAATATTCCAAACTTTTGGAGTTTTGTATACCATCCTGATATTATGAGTTACTGAAGGTTGTAAACCCCTGTTACAATTTTACAGAGAGTTGTTACAGAGGGCGTACATTCTGCTGAATGTTGGATGTAGTGGAACAGGGTGTGAAAACTTCCCCAGGACGTACAAAGTATCATGGACTACTAACCTACATAGTCATTCCCACAGAGCTGTACTCGCCACATTCTTTGATTACCAGGAAAATGTAAGCTTCAAACAAAAAAATGATGTACACTTGAGTTGTTTGTCAACTTGACAGTGTATTGCATGTTCATCATTCACCAGAAAATCTAGGGTTAAGCTATTATATCTGTTCATGGTTATTATTATATTTTTTCTGTCAGGGTATTTTGGACTTATGATAATGACTCACTGTATTTTATCTGTCAAGGTATTTTGGATGTTTGATAATGATTATATTTTATCTGTCAGGGTATTTGGGACATATAATGACTCGCTGTATTTTATCTGTCAAGGTATTTTGGATGTTTGATAATGTCTATATTTTATCTGTCAGGATAATTTTGACCTAACATTAATTTCATCTTTCAGGGTATCATGGATGTCATGGTGACAACTTACACTAGTAGTAATCAGTATCAGATTCATATGATGCAGCACACGTTTGAACAAGACGCCTGCTTTATGAAAGTCATGGGTAAGTATGTTGCCTCAAGAGAAATCCAATTAGATAACAGTTGTAAGTCCTGATGGGTTTTCTGGTCATCACCACTTCTGTATAGATTAGTTCTTGATGGTATTTCTGACTTAATTTGATACTAATAAGGTGAGAATGGGCAGGTATAAGCTAAAGGGCCCAAGACCTTAAACCATAATGTAGTACACTAGGATCCAAAACTAGTCAGTAAAACATCAGATTAGGTCACCAAAAGTTTCTAATCTACAACTATAGTCAGTAAAACGTCAGATAAGGTCACCAAATGTCTTTAATCTACAACTATAGTCAGTAAAACGTCAGATTAGGTCAACAAATGTCTTTAATCTACAACTATAGTCAGTAAAACGTCAGATTAGGTCACCAAATGTCTTTAATCTACAACTATAGTCAGTAAAACGTCAGATTAGGTCACCAAAAATTTTAATCCACAACTATAGTCAGTAAAACGTCAGATTAGGTCACCAAAAATTTTAATCCACAACTATAGTCAGTAAAACGTCAGATTAGGTCAACAAATGTCTTTAATCTACAACTATAGTCAGTAAAACATCAGATTAGGTCACCAAAAATTTTAATCTACAACTATAGTCAGTAAAACGTCAGATTAGGTCACCAAAAATTTTAATCCACAACTATAGTCAGTAAAACGTCAGATTAGGTCACCAAAAATTTTAATCCATAACTATAGTCAGTAAAACGTCAGATTAGGTCACCAAAAATTTTAATCCACAACTATAGTCAGTAAAACGTCAGATTAGGTCACCAAAAGTTTTTAATCTACAACTATAGTCAGTAAAACGTCAGATTAGGTCACCAAAAATTTTAATCTACAACTATAGTCAGTAAAACGTCAGATTAGGTCACCAAAAATTTTAATCCACAACTATAGTCAGTAAAACGTCAGATTAGGTCAACAAATGTCTTTAATCTACAACTTTAGTCAGTAAAACATTAAATTAGGTCACCAAAATTCTTTAATCCATAACTATGGTTAGTAAAACATTAAATCAGGTCACCAAATGTCTTTGATCAATGTTTTCTGTTGTTGTTTATCTTTGTTGATGTTGATTTTTACGTTTCCAGTGACCAGTGGGGTTTGTTCAGATAACTGTCCAGCTCACAGAAAGGTATAGTTGAATTTGTGAATTTATGATAAATATGTTTTACATTTCACTGATTAAATGTTAGAAAGAATGTAACTTCATTAGTGAAAGGTCTCCACAGGGTGAAGAATACAAGGTTGAGGGAATATAACTTATCTGTACTAGGAAGGTAACTGCAATACTATATAACAAAGTTAAATGTTAAAGTACTTACCAGGTTCAGTTTTTATGAAGTGTTTAGCTTATTCATTGTTGTAGTTGTATTATTTACCAGTGTAAATGCTGAAGTAATCAATAGGTTAAATGTTGAATTATTTATCAGGTTAAAGTTAAGTATTTGTCAGGTTTACTGTCTTAGTATTGACCAGGTTAAGCATTTACCAGGTTAAAAGTTAATGATGTATTTACCTGGTTTAATGTTAAATTATTTGTTTCTTGTTGAAGTATTAACCAAGTTAAGTGTTGTTTTATATACCAGGTTAGATGTTGATGTAGTTAACCAGGTTAAGCATTGAACTATTTACCAAATTAAATGTATTTTTTGTTTCTTTTGTCTTCCATCAGCTGTATTAAGGTTAAGCTAATGTTCTTACCATTTACATAATAAAACACAGCTGACAAAAGTACAGAAACAAGTGTTAGAAATCCAGATATCAATGGCTGCCATTCTTTGTAGCACATTGATATCCTAACCTCATTACTAATACCTATTGTACATTTCTTTAGATTAAGGTTTCCTGTTTTTCAGCCATATGGAATCAACCAGCCAGGTCCAGTAGCTAAGTTTTCTACTTTGGACACTAATGGAGACCCTCAGGTTGGCGCTGGTGGGTATTTTATTTCCTAGATGCAGGCTTGGAAATTTGTCATTTAAATTTTACATGACTACACATCCACAGTATAATTAGTAGACTGATTTAATTGAAATATTTTTGTTGTTAATTTTCCAGAATACACAATCTCCACAAACAATATAAAAATGTAGCTCAAAGTTCATAACAGAATTCCACTCAATAACAAACATTGTAGTGTCAGCATCACTCCATATGAGTTAGATCAGTTGAATTAAACACTGACTGTTTAAGCCAATCAGACTTTACAAGTTTATTTTAACATCAAACCCACCATGTGACTAGTGTTACCAGGTCAACTTAACACACTGTTTATTACGATGATGCTAGGTCAAGTTAACACACTGTTTATTACGATGATGCTAGGTCAAGTTAACACACTGTTTATTACGATGATGCTAGGTCAAGTTAACACACTGTTTATGACATTATTTCTAGGTTAAGTGTATGTACTGTTTCAGAGAGTGTTGTAAGGTCAAGGTGACCCTTTCTTCATGCATTGTTACAAGGTCAAATTAATACTGTTTATGACAATGTTGCTGGATTAAGTTAATAGAATTTTAAAAGCTGTTGAAAGTTCAAGTCCATGCACTATTAAAAATTTGTTGGCATTTTGTGTTAACAGCCACCCAGTTGACGCAGTCAGCATACTTTTCTCTGCAGCAGCCTTATATTGTGTTTGGACTTGGACAGACACCAAACTTTGTAGACAAGTTATATGTTGGGATCCCACATCCTAATGGCACGGTAAGTTTTGCCAATTGTTACTACTTCAAAACAAGGAGGGCTGTATATTTAATGAATAGAGCATTAGAATACATGATCTCAAATGATCTGAGGTTTGTCCCAGTAGAGTTAAACTTTCCTTTCCCATAGCCAATTGTGTTCAGAAGGAAACTGAGAAATGCACTTTTATGGTTGTGGCCTTGGGCAAAACACTTCACCCTAATCATCCTTATTGCACTGGATGGCATGTGATGGACCTCTCATATGTTGTTCAGTGAGGTAGCCATTGATTGCTAAACAAGGAGATGCTGGTTGTTCATGAGGCAATAACCAAACTCCAAAACAGTAGTTCCCACTATTAGGACAAGTAAGTCCTGAGGTATTTTTCCGACATACAGGGTTAAACTTGAATGGTGCTTAATTCAGAATGATATATGTGGCTTTGCAATGAAATGGCAATGAATTATTTTGCTAGTTGCCTGTATTTGTGTCAACCAAGGCTTGAAGTTTTTTATCCCAAATTAGGAAGGTTTTATTTTTCAGTTCAGTGTATGAAGACTCGATTTTACACATCCTGCTGTGTAGATAACTGTATATTTATCATTGTATACTGTCTCTTTACAGGACGTCAGGACAAGGAGCTGGTCGTCTGTCATACCAAACTCTCAGCTTGTCGTCATACCCTACCCTCACGATGAACCATCCAGGTATGACTGGGGAGAATATCACAGATATGTTATTAAGTTTGGAATTGATTGATAATCATGTTCACTTCAGCTTTTAGTATCAAAATTTTTTTGTTTGTTTTATAAGGTCACCAGACACAAAATCTAACGTGCATTCCCTTATGTTCATATGTTGTCTTTTGTAAAACAATGTTGTTATTCATTTTACAAATGACATTATTTTCTTTCTCTGTGGTAAAGTGAATGGATTTTCCACAAACTTGTCAACTATCTTCCTTTAAATATCATTATGTTCAGAATTAATACCTAACAAGTAGTCAAACCCTTGGGATGAGGATGGGAAAATAGGTCACCTTTAGTAAGAAAAAATCCTAAGGCATGTTTAAATTTATACGTTTAAGGTCAGGATGAAAAGTATACTCCAGAAGAGACCTGAGTATTCTCTTACCCAAGACAAGTAAATCCACGCTTTTTACCAGTGTAGGATTTCCTTGTCTGATTTACAAAACTCTGTCTCTGAATTTCTTGAAACTATCATAATCATTAGCTAGTAGTGATGCTCAAAATCTACCGAGGACAAGACTCCAATCAAGAGCTGAGGTCATGAAGGTTGAGTCCAAAACATATTTCAAATTTCACTTGAGAAACTTTCAGATTTTATAGGAATATACATTAAAAGGTATCAAACTCTGTGACAAACATCGTCTTGTGGTGAGGATCAGGATCTGTATCCTAGAAGAGGCTTGCTTTAATTGTGTTTGTAGGGCGTCATAAGTTTTTACTGATTTTAAGAAACACGTTTTCACTTCTTCTATTTTTGGTGAAAGTCAGAACAACCCAGTTTGAAGTGAAAATAATCTTGCTGCTTCTTTAGTAAAACTTTCTTCTTCCTTTCAGCTGATTGAGTTGTTATGTCCTAGAAACTTGGAAACTGTTAACTGCTTTAAAATAGTTGTATCCGTGTTTCCGCTGTTTCCTTTTCTCTGTTAGAAGAAAGGACCCTTTTTTTATATTTCATTATGATTTGTAAATCAGATCAAATAAATACATAAATAGTACCTACAAAGTTTATTTTACATTATGGATAAAGTTAAAACACAATACATGAACCAACCAACCAAAAGAAGATCAGTTTGTATTTATAATTGTACTTTTGTTGTCACAGCTGGACAAACAAGCTTTTTGTCACTCCCAGCAAGCTTGTACTGTTGACTGGTGCTGCCCTCTTAGGGACATGTGGTTTTCTGGCCGCGATTGTTGGGATTCTACACTGGAGAGAGAAGGTAATGATAGTTTTGCAAGGCTTATGTTTATGAAACTCTTTTGTATCTGTAATGACACTTTGTACACACACACTCTCAAGAGAGGACTGGGGTACCCTACTTAACATCTCTGTAAACACACTCCATTTCAAGATTATTGAAAAGTGTAATTAGGATACATTATTTGATGAAACCTTGCTTCAATACTTTCTTCTTCCAGTCTTAAGTATAATTAGTATTTCATTTTACCCAGTAGACATGAATATCGTTAATTTGAATATTTTAGATGGCAATATTTGTGAGTCAACAGTCACTAAACATTGGCTATGTTTTTTGGTTTCCTCACGGCAGGGTAGAATAGAAGTACTTACAACACAATCAGTAGAAGATCAGAGTGTGACTACACAGTCACCTTCATCAGACAAATGACCAGTATGAATCAACCAACTTACCATCTCGTACACTAAGTACGTCAGTGCTAGTACGCTCCACACTGGTCATTTGTGTGACGAAGGTGACTGTGTAGTCATCGAAACTTCACACTCTAATCTTCTACTGGTTGTGTTATTAGAACTAATATTCTATTAACATTACCAACCTGAAGGAAATGAAAAAAAAAACATACATTTGTTTAGACTCCAGTACGTATGAACTTTTGTCTTCATGATTTGACCTTTGACCATTTGTCAAGAATTATTATTACAGTAAAGAATACACTACTTGGCTACTAACTCTGGTCAGATGTACCTGTTAAGATCTGTTCAGGCATCCGATCAGATGTTGTATACCAATAGTGAGGATTTAAGTAAAAGTTTTTACAGCTTGTCTTACTATACAAAGACCGAATCACTTGCGAATTTCAGATCAGCACTAGAACCAGATAGTGCATTGAACCAGATAGTACATTAGCTCAGGGATTTTTTCTTGTTCTCTCATAGAGAACTTTACATTTTTTCCCAGTGTTATGTTTGCCATAACAGCCATATACAATGTATACATTAGGCAGTCATAGTCTCACTGCAACATTTTACTGAATAAAAAACAATTGCCTGGTATTTCAGTGCTATGAAAATCTCTCAGTATGACAAGGTTTACTTAATTTATAATTGTTACTTTGAATATACCTTGGTATTCCAGGTTGAAGATAAAAAAGAAAAACTACAAGATGCCCACAAGTTCCACTTTGATGCTATGTAAACCACACAAGGAAATCCTAACAGTCCTTCATTCTGTCAGTTCTACCATGTTGAGGTGAAGGGTTTCACATGGATGCCCTGGATTGTCTGTTTTACTGTTGAGGTAGACGAGATTCAACATCTACAACAGTGCATTTATCTGGAATTTTAGAGTCCAGCAAAGAAACAGTTTGAAATGGATCCTTTCTGAAATCTCATTATTAGTATAACCTGACTGTCTTGCTTATCTCTTTACACTATCCACAGTAATCAAGGGGCTTTAAGTGCTAACTTTTTCCGTCCATATCAATAATGATTTACATTCAGTTTCTTCTGTGTTCATCATACCAACCTCATATGTTTATTTACAAAATACAGATTCGTATAGTTGTCATTCTCTGCTGAATGGTTTTAATTTGAATTCCAATATTGCCCCATAAATATGTTTTTAGTATTTTTTTTTCTTCTTTAAGGGAGCTTTTCCTGATCTGGAACACAAAATCCCTGATTAATGAGTGCAATAAGTTTTCAAGGGACTGATTTGAAAAATTGAAGTCTGAATTGTGCTTTTCTAATGTAGGTGTCCATCACTTGGTTAAGGATTTCGGTGGGGGAAGGCGGTCACTCCAATACAATGGTATCTGTAGGATATTCACGGATAAGTTTACAGGATGGGGGAGGGATATAACTGTTCTTTTAAATGTGTCGATGGTTGTGTAACCTTAATTAGGCTTTTGTATAAACATGTTGGAGTGGGATGAAGTATTATATAGAAATATAAAGGCTATGCACGTAGGTAATTTTAAGCAGGTGTTTTATATCATCTGTACAAATATGATGAAGTAATTTATTAACAAATATAGAGAAAATGTGTTCATATTGATAATAGATGACATCTGTTGTCTTTCAAGAAATGTAACAAATATTTTGCCTGCCTTCAGATTGTTTTCTGTTTTATAGTGAGCTGTGAAAACATTCCTCTTCTGCTGTGATAGGTCTTTATACTGTGTATGATCAGTATTTTGTGATTGTACATGTATTGTGTGGTAGTTATAAGGTGGAAGTAGTCTGTAAATTCAGGTACAAAGTTCTGTGAAGTTTCGTTGTATAGCAGTGAAAAAGTCTACAGTGGTGAGTGACCTACCATGTTATATGGTATTCAAAATTGCAAAACTGACACAGATACATATGAATTTTAATGTCTGGTATTCAAAATGACAAATGTGTGTAGTCATATGTGAAGTACAAGACTGTAAGGATGTATGGCTGTCAAGATATCAGAGTTGAATGTAAATTCAAGTACATTATTCTGTGAAGTTTAAATGAATGACTATACAGTTGTTAGAATTGTGAAGTCAGAATGAGAGAGTCTTGAGTGAAGTGCATTGTGAATGCATTTTAGATGTATGGTAGTCAAAATGTGAGTCATGTCGGAAGATTTAATGTGTGATATACAGTTTGTATGGGATTAACTTCAGGTTACATTTTACTTTGTCATTTGATGACAAGCATCATTTTCTTAGATGATAACTAGTATTTGAATGTAAAAAAAAAACTCATTCAGACAATAATTATCAGATGTATTTTACAGATTTCCTTCAATTTGGAATGAACTGATGACAAATTTCAGAGAACAAAAATGCTCAGTGTATGAATATGTAGTGAAGAACTTTCTTAGAGTTGAAAGTTTCAGTGACTGGGGCCACAGCTTGTGTAGTTCACGAGGACTTTATGACATGAAATGTGAACATGTCTGTAGAAGTTTGGTCGGACAGTCAAATTAGCTATTTTATTTTCAAGCTACAAAGGTAGCAGTATGAAAATATTGTAAAAAAGAAATGAAATTTGAATAACATGTATGATGATAATGATTTAGTATTCTTGAAAGGTAAAAACTTAATTTACTGTTTAAACCAAAAAAATCACTGAAATTGTTTATTCATTAACAACATACAGGTGTATAAGTAATCAGTGTTAAGGTGTTTGTCTAAACATACCATATGGAAGAAAATGTAATTGATTTAATATAGCAAGTGAACACATGGGAGAGAGCAGAAAAAGTTGTGGTGCTTGTTGGGTAGATAATTTCGTCAGTGTTTTTCCTTGTTATGTCCTGTCTACTCTCATTTTTATGTGTATGTATGTATATTTATTGCATAAAATCTGTATGCTTTTGTTAAGTTTTTACACAGCCATTTTATTTGTGTATCCATGGTTATATGTATGTACAGGTGGGTGCTTTGAAAAAGGAAAACTTATTTAATAATAAATGACACTTGTAATGATGAGCAATAAAATATTTATTTGATCAAAATGGGTTGAATTCTTCATACTGAGGTGATTTGATCATTCCTCAGTGATGTTTTCTTCAAAGTCTGAAACAGAAGACAAATGTTACTTCACCTCTCCGTGTATGTGGATCATTTACATACTTGATATTACAGAGTATCAAATAATGTTGTATTTCATAAATCAATGGAAAAGCAGGTAGAAATGTCTACTTTTTATAGCAGCCCAAGGACACTGCAGACATGTTAGGTGTAGAAAGCAAGTCAGTCCTTTCGAGCCAATGATGTATAGAACGAGATGCTTCATTTCAAGACAACATTGTACAGATTGAGTCACTCCATTTCAAGACAACGTTCTACAGAATGAGTCACTCCATTTCAAGCCAAGGTGTCACAGGATGAGTCACTCTATTTCAAGCCAAGATTGTACAGGGTGAGTCACTCCATTTCAAGACAACATTGTACAGAAAGAGTCACTCCATTTCAAGACAAGGTTGTACAAAATGAGTCGCTCCATTTCAGATTGTGCATTTGTATAATGTAAATACTAAACGTAGATAAAACCAATGATGACAGTGACTCAACAGTAAGTTTCTTTGTGAGGGCAAGCTGGAGTTAATAGGGAGTTATTGTCAGTATTAGTACTGTGTGACGGTCTGATAGAACATACAAAAACACACATGCAAAAAAGGGAATCATAAGTTAAAATAAGAGAAATTATGATTCAATCCCTTTGTATAACCAACACATTTCACAGCTGCTATTCTTTCATCTGTTTAGAAAATGTCTTCTTTAGTAGAAGTAAGTCGGAACCAAAAGTAAACACAATTACCTTTGTTAAAAGCCTCCAGCAGGAGCTGAAGTTCTCGCCGCTTGTCGGAGATCACTACAATAATAATGTAACACGATTAGTATTGGAGCTTCCAACTTTTTTATCACAATTAATTTTTGATCATATTTGCTTGTTTACCTACAGTGTTTAATTATCAGGTTTGCCACTTACCACACAGCTTTCTAGAGTCACATGTGGTGTCGTTAGGACATCGGGAACACCGGATCCCTTTTGTGTATGGTTTCACGCCTTTTAAAACTCTGCAATGAATATGATCGTAGCCATTAAAAATATTACAGTTACCACCTTAGAACTTTATATTTTATTTATGCCTCATCCTTTAGATTCTGTATGAAGACCTCCAGTTTTATAGATGCCTTAATACAAAATCTGTATGAAGTCGTAGTCTTATTTGAGATACTTTACAAGTTCTGCAGACAGAACTGCAGTTTAGATAGACCAAACACACTAACCTAGGTCTGTATAGACACGTGTAAATCTGCAGGTCCCTACTGACGACTGTTCGTCCCAGTTACCCAGGTTCCTACTGACGACTGTCCGCCCCTGTTACACAGGTTCCAACTGACGACATACCATGCACGTTTACGTAAGTCAGTACCAACTGTCCGCCCCAGTTACCCAGGTTCCTACTGACGACAAACCATGCCCGTTTACGTAAATCAGTACGAACACGCGGCGAACTATCCGCCCCAGTTACCCAGGTTCCTACTGACGACTGTCCGCCCCAGTTACCCAGGTTCCTACTGACGACATACCATGCACGTTTACGTAATCAGTACCAACACGTTACGAACTGTTCGCCCCAGTTACCTAGGTTCCTACTGTCGACAAACCATGCACGTTTACGTAAGTCAGTACCAACTGTCCGCCCCAGTTACCCAGGTTCCTACTGTCGACAAACCATGCCCGTTTACGTAATCAGTACCAACACGTTACGAACTGTTCGCCCCAGTTACCTAGGTTCCTACTGTCGACAAACCATGCCCGTTTACGTAAGTAAATACCAACACGCGACGAACTATCCGACCTAGTTATCCCGGTGCGTGCTGTCACACAACCAAACCAGGCAAACTTACCCAGGTCCGTACTGACATACGATATACCAGGCCTTCGGATTCATCACCACGGTCTTTCCTTCGTAGAGTGGCTGACATCTCTTGGCAGCACACCCAAGTTTGTAAGATTTAGACCACACTACCTGCAACAGAGTGAAGGAGAATACAAAATTTTACATAGAGATTTTCCTTCTAAACTACACGTAACACATTCACTTTTCAACTTGAAGGCGATTGGATCTTCTGTCTTTCCTTTGAAGAATGATAACCTGCTTGTATTGAAGGGAGTCATTTCTGGACTGACATGTTTACCTCTCCGTCGACAATATCATTTCCCGAAAGAACATGGTTCCCTTTCTGTAGACAATACTGTTTCCCTGAACAAACACGTACTTCCCTGTCTGTAGATAATACTATTTCCCGAAAGAACATATTTATCTGACTTGAGATAACACTATTTCCCGAAAGAACTTATTTACCTGACTGGAGATAACACTATATCCCGAAAGAACATGTTTCTTTGACTGAAGACAATGCTATTTCTCATAAAAACATGTTTACCTGTCTGTAAACAACGGTATTTCCCAGAAGCACACGTGAAGCTTTCTGTGAACGATGCAAGTGTTCTTGAGCAATACAATTCATCCTATGTGAATCCCGTAGGTTATTTGTCGAGGTAGCCAAAACTTGGTCCATGTGCATGTTTACATGTTTTAGAGATGACACTATTTTCCGGATATACAGATGCACGCCAACACATATTATCTTTACCGGAAGTTAATATTTTGCTATTCAAAGTGGCTAGCTCTTTCCCACGGCTTACATACCTGTTTATAGTGACCGCACTTTTTCCCAGATTCACATGAATTATGTTTGTAACTGTAGTATTTCTTTTCATTGTACCACATGTTGACAGCCTTGGTTACGTTCAAATCTTTCGCTACAAAACAAGAAACACAATCAAGATTGATGAAATCTATAATTTCCGTGTATACACGTCTTGACAATAAAGAATTTTAGATTAGGAAAATATTGAATACACCAGACATTGATGTAAAATAGCTGGCGATATCTGCACCTTTTTCCTGTCACGTTGTTTGTTACACTGCTTTCTTTCGTCTGCATCATTTGTTATATAAATCAATCGAAGATGAGTAAATTTGCCTATGGATCTTTTAATTCCCCAAATATCGAGCAATTCTGTCCACTGGGTCTTGACCAATTCTCTACGGGACGTATGTTTCCATTGTGTGCCTTAGCGTTCCGATTCGAACCCGGATAGTCAATAGTCCGCGTTTTGTCACTCGAAAGTTGTGATAGTTTACCTGTAGACATAAATAGATTTTCTCCTGCGGTAGATGCCGACTTGAACTTTCGGTCCGATTTGGGGCTATGTTCCCACAAACATTTATCAGCCCAATCTGCGGCTTTCTTCTGTAGTGATCTACTCCAAGTCTGAAAAAAATTAGGGCTAATTATCGACCTACTCATGAGTGTCGTCAGAATTCTACGAAGCAACTGGAAGCTATCACTAAGTGGGAAACAAGAATGATGAAATACGTGGAAACTACTGCAGAGTGTGAAACAGGCTGCGTGAAATATATAGAGGTCACTATCAGATGGTAGTTAAAAAGGGAGGTCGCCACACGGACAAACAAGCAGGGTGAGATATCTGTATAGGTAATTAATGTTTGGAACAAACAGGTTGAAATTACTGGAAGTTATCACCATGTGTGAAGCAAGAGGGTATGAAATATCTGGATGTCTATACGCATACAATGTGAAACAAGCAGGATAAAATACGTGGAGATTGCTTAAACGTGTAAAACAAGAAGGATGAAACTGAAGGAGATCACATCACGTGTTTAACAATCAGAGTGAAATACAGAATACCAAAGAAGGTTTGTTGGCTTTTCTGTCAACAATTTCAGTTTCCTGGTATGTGACGTACATATTATTTTTAGACAGGTAACCCGCCTGTACTTACTGATGTATAGATAAGGAATAAATATTGCGTTTGATATTTTCACCCGATGACAACTAGTTTGATCAGCTTCAGATTGATGGCCTTGTTGACCAGGTATAACAAATTGGAGCATTATTGTCCTTCGCCACATGTAACAGCAGGATTAACACCGGGCCAGTCTGTCCGCACGCCCAGTTAACAAAACTTCATTTCTATAATCACCGTTAGTGTCAAATTCAACTTAGGATTATTCAAATGCTTAACAAAGGTTTCCTGTGTGAGAGTCGATTAAGTAAGACGATCCGAGTACAACAGATCGTCATAATAATATTTGCCTCTACGGGATATTAATCATCTAAATCTGTTGCTGAACGAGATAGTATCGGAGATTCAACAGAAACTTCACTTGCACATAAAAACAAGCTCGCCTGGATACACTCGAATACATATCTATCACAAATGGGTACTACAAATCTGTCTGATAAAGGTATTATTGCGAAATGCTTTTTGGATGAAGACACTATATCTACCTAATCATATATCTCGCCATTTCGTATAAACATAAAATCAACTGACGAAAAAACAGGATGGCTATGAATGGTTTTTGTAACTTTGAGTAAAAGAAAGAAAATTCAACACCGCCACTTTATATATTAAATTAGCCAAACACGACGCGCAATTTATTTTTCCCTTACCTCCCAGCAGGAAACGTCTTCGTTTGATTCTTCGGGTTAAAAGTTTTAATGTTTTCTTGTTCTTATTTCTCCAGACAACATTATGGTTGTAAAAGGTCTCCTCTATAGGGATGAACGACCCTGGTTTACCAGTCTAACGCTCTACAAGTGTAAGCTTGAGAGAATCTGCAACCCCCTCCCATCCACCTCAGGTGTAAAAAAGTAAAACGATTTAACTAATGAATAAAAGAAATATTTTGGATCAATTGGTGCGTGTAGATTTTGTAATCTTGCATAAATTTGGCGATTTTTTTGGTGAGACATTCTGGATACAATAAAATGAACAGTATTAAATTACACTACAGCCAAGAAACCACCTGTTAAACGCTTTCACTATGTAATCACGCCTTATATACCATTTGTCGCATTTTTCACAGTTTTATTGATTTCAATCAATGACTGAAGAGTTTGTCATGTTTTATGGCTTTCGTTAACTACAGCAGTTTGTCATCTTTCTCACAATTAAATAGTTTTCATTTACCACAGAAGTTCGTCATATTCCTGACAATCAAATAGTCTTCATTTACCACAAAGGTTGTCATATTTCTCACTATTAAATGCCTTTCATTTACCACGGAAGTTTGTCATATTTCTCACAATTTAACGGATTTCATTTACCACAGACATTTGTCATATTCTCTGTCATTTACAAAATTTGCAATTTCTCACAATTTAATAACTTTCATTTATCACAAATTTTGTCATATTTTTCAGAATTTAATAGTTTTCATTTACCAAAGAAGTTCGTCATTTACCACGGAAGTTTGTCATATTTCTCACAATTTAACGGATTTCATTTACCACAGACATTTGTCATCTTTCTCCCAATTTGATAGCTGTCATTTACCACGGAAATTTGCCATATTTCTCACAATTTAATAACTTTCATTTATCACAGAATTTTGTCATATTTTTCAGAATTTAATAGTTTTCATTTACCAAAGAAGTTCGTCATATTTCTCACAATTTAACGGATTTCATTTACCACAGAAGTTCGTCATATTTCTCACAATTTAACGGATTTCATTTACCACAGAAGTTCGTCATATTTCTCACAATTTAACGGATTTCATTTACCACAGAAGTTCGTCATATTTCTCACAATTTAACGGATTTCATTTACCACAGAAGTTCGTCATATTTCTCACAATTTAACGGATTTCATTTACCACAGAAGTTCGTCATATTTCTCACAATTTAACGGATTTCATTTACCACAGAAGTTCGTCATATTTCTCAGAATTAAATTGGCTTTCATTTACCACAGAAGTTTGTGATCTTTCTCACTATTGGATAGTTTTCAGTTACCACAGCAGTTTGGCACCTTTCTATTTGGTATACAGTAGTTTCATTTTATATTTTTTATACTGAAATTCAATTTTAAGCCAGATTTAAAACGTTACAAAACACATTAAATACACAGTTGTTTTATATAACAAATCAGAAATCTATACAAATATATAGAAGATATGTAATAAACATGTATTTACCAATTCTTGCATGTCTTTTGCATTTTCTTTCGCTCGGAAATAATTGTGAGCTTCCAGGAAGTCCCTTTTTTGGACTCCAGCGGCCAAAGCGACAGAGAACACAATCGTGAGCAGCAGCACAGTTGTCATGATTTCGGCGTTGTGCCGCAGTTTGATGGTCCTTCGGCTAACCGGGTACCTACCCGAATCACGTGACTCACAAGTGCTGCGGTCGTATACGATAGAATCGATTTACGAAACATGAGACACATAAACAATTTTATTTCATACATTGATATCACGAAATGTATGTTTTACTTTTTAAGGAATGAATTGCCTACTGTGCTTGTTTTCGTTATCTATTTCACCTACTTAAATCGACTCGACAAAAACCCCTTACAGCTGTGAAAAATACAACTTGAATTACAACAATTTATGTACAATATTCAATTCCTGTTGTGTTGAAAAAACGGAAAATGGACGTATTAGTTACTATTCTTATTTATATTCCTTTCTAAAAAATCAGAAAATTTAAGAAATTGAAGAATTAAGGCATTTTTTTCAAATATATCCAGGAACGAAAAATGAGTCACAAACGTATACGTCCCTGACGTAGCATAGATAAAATTCTCAGCTACCCTTTGATACATTACAGACAAAAGAATAGATATATTTGATAAAGTAGGGCGTCTGGAAAACAGTCATACAGAACTTTACAGTGGGATCTCACTCAAATGAAGTAAAATCTAGTGATATTAACCAGTTGATATTACTTAATGAAATCGTCCTTTCAATAACTATTTTTTATTATAAGGAATATAACAAATGATTTAGTGATATTATCTATATCAGTACTTGAATAATGTCACCTACCCGGTAGAAAAGTAAGCAATGCGACGATGTAAATTTCTGACGGGAATATTAAAGTGGTTTTATTTCAATGAATAGATAATTTATTTATGTGCATGACAGGTTTGTCGATGGAACTTCTCACAATTGTAAGATGAATACGTAATATGACATGTAACCTGCATCAGCAGGTGAGGAATGTTGGTGATAGAATGAGGTAGTGACCTTACAAGTAACTGGGGGATTAGAGATTACCAACACACCGTCACCAACTGTAAACATACCAGCACCCCATGCCCACGGCAGTAGTTATGTGTGTATGTTTACATATTATTGACAATTTTCCCCCAGGTGACGTGTTGTTATTTTGTTTATAGAGAGTGTTTTTGCTTTACTTTTAAAAATCTTGTGATTTTTTTTCACATTCACATATATTGATGACGTCTTGTTATTAAATAACAAGAGATCTATTCACTACGTTTATCGTATATACCCATATATACTTATACCATACGTATAGTAACCAAGGACACGACAGGCACTTCTACATCACCTGCTTATCTCGATCTTTTCCAGCAACGAAACCAACATAGACCGCTTCCCAACAAGCTGTATGATAAGCGTGGTGATATCAATTTTCCTTTTGTGAATTTTCCATTTCTGAATATTAACATCTCTGCATCCCCAACCTACGGAATTAATTTATAGCAGTTGGTTCGATATTTAAGGGCCTGTTCCCATTATCACGATTTTCCTTCCTTCAAGTTGTCGATAACTGACAGACAGATGTAAGTTGATGAAAGTGACGGGAAAGTTTTACGGTTGCCATAGTGACCTGATTGAGAAATATTCTATTTCTTTGTTCGATATGAGACTGGACGTGCTTGATGTTCGTTAGTTTTTCTGTTGTTGAATACCTTATTCTCATTTGAGAACGTGGCATTACTTACTTGGATTGACAAAGATTTACACGGCAGGTGTCATCGATTATGAAGACCTGAACTCTTCTGGAACACCTGGTCTTATACTTCCTGTACCTTATAAACGGTTGTCTGACAATGCCAGTCATAGGCTTAATTTGTCCTGTCTCAAGGAGTTAGGGGGAAGTAGTGAAACTGACCATGCTGGTCATAGGTCTGCATTGTCCTGTCTCAAGGTGTCAGGGGGGAGGTAGTGAAACTGACCATACTGGTCATTGGCCTGCTTTGTCCTGTCTGAAGGTGTCAGGGGGAGGTAGTGAAACTGACCATGCTGGTCATTGGCCCGCTTTGTCCTGTCTTTTAAGTTATTCGGGGCAGGTACATGGAGTCATGTTTTTGGCATCTTTGCAAGCCAAGTGTGCTCAATCTGATACACTTATTTTCATTAGTGTAATTCCCCTGGAATATTGAGGGCATACTGAGAGTAAAGGAACAAAAGATTTGATATATATATAATGATATATAAATTGGTTTCAACAGGATATTACTTCAGACCCCAACGAAATAACTGAGGCAGCACACCTCAGACATAACTTGACTGAGGCAGCACACCTCTGACATAACTTGACTGAGGTAACACACCTCAGACATAACTTGACTGATGAGTTTACATACCTCAGACATAACTTGACTGAGGTAACACACCGCAGACATAACTTGACTGAGACAGCACACCGCAGACATAACTTGACTGAGGTAACATACCACAATCCAAGTTGATTTGGATACAAAAAATATGCCGCCTGTAGGTCATTTTAAAACACAATCAAACAGGCTGTTTTAATTAATTTTTGCCAGATAATGGTCTGATGACACAGACGTGGATGTTGTTCTGTGGTGTGATCTCCTATAACAGAGCAGCTGGGCTTCGTAAATAACAGAAACCACTCCATTCAGTAATTAACATATCTTTATTGTCAGAAACAAGAGAATGATTACAACATAGCAACACAAAAGTGATATTACACATAAACATGTGTGAAGGATTGTAACAATTACTTAAACAGTTGTGTAATTCTGTGTCACATTTTCAGATACACACAAACACATGTGTATAATCACTCTTCCTAAAACCTAACAGGTGTGTACATACCACACACTTTCTCACCCTCTTGCAACCCTGTTTAATAGGGGTTTTATTCAAAACTTTAAACATGGTTTGTTTTATTGCAGTCTATTAACAGTAAAAATGGCTCAAATTCTATGTTTGTGTTTTTTTTGTCTTTAACAATGTTTTTATATTTTGTTGATAAACTGCACTTTGGAAATACATTGATGGATATGCATTTCACATTTTTAAATGTTTTTTTTTCATTCATGGACATTTGATTGGTGGATGAACCAACGAAATCAAATCAAATAAAACTCCCATGAATACTAATAATATTACAGCATAGTGTTTCTATGACAACACAATTACAACATGCTCAAGTGTCTTGAGAGAGGTGACTTTCACACAATGTGTTGCATAATACAGTGTGTACCTACACATTCTGTGGTACATATACTTGCATGAACATATGTGTCATGTTTTCCATCACACACCTGTCTCATTTTGGTGAACAGATGTGCACCCATCCATAATTGGCATATCAACATTGTGTGATAGATAACTGTGAAAATACCAATAAGTAATTTTTTCTTACAAATAAAGGTATGAACATGTTTCACTTTCTGGTCCACACACATACATTACACTTCCCACTTCCTGTGACAAATGCAGGTATGTCACATATGTATAACGCTTAAAATCAGAAAAAGTTGATGTCTTTTATCACAAGAATAACAATGAAATGTGTACAGTATGGAATTGGTAGGCATAATCAGACATAAACAAAGCAGGAACAAACTTAACAATAATAGTCTGATAAACAACACAACACTATTAAATATCTTATGAAATTAAGTGTGTTTGTTTTCTGAGAGATGAAGTACACCTAGTAAATCTAAAGCATGTATATGGTATAACTTAGCATTATTGTAAACAGTCTTTATACACATAATCTCCGATTCTTTTTCCGTTGTACTAATCTCAATTTCCTATCAAAAAGTCTAAAGATATCCCAGAAAAAAAGTCTTCATATATAAGTCTTTTTGCTTGATTCCACAATTCCAATACTGGGCTCGGATTCTGATCTGGGAACTGTCATTCTGGAATAGAGAAATGTAGTTTAAAAGTCTATCCAGTTTGTGATGGATTTGAGTTCTGAAGTCTTAATACATTGAAGTAAAGTATGGTTTAATTTGTTTTGATACAGAGTTTCCTTTACATACTGGGAGTTTGGAAGACTGGAAGCATCAATCGTCATCATATTCAGACTTTTGCTAAAAACTAAAACAAAAAAATCATCTAATATACCAGACAAATAATTCTAACCGTGTTGCTGTTAATAATCTTAGAAGACAGAAAACAAAATTAAGAAATATTCTGCCCCAGTACACATGTGTGACCATGAAGAATATCCTACTCCCAGTACACATGTGTGACCTTGAAGAAGAATATTCTACTGGTATTTTGAAGCATAGCTTATACATAGCACTAGCCAGTGAAACATGCCATTCTAAGACAGACAAGAACTGTTCTACCGTCTGTGTTCTTCGTCCTCCAGACTTTCCCTACTTCCTGTTCGATCTTGATGATGTCTACTTCTCCTGACTGGAGCAGTTGGAGGTGGCATTAGATCGCCTGCACTCTGAAAGTCAAACAATTCACAAATGTTTTACTCATAAATACCAACAGTTTCACTTCAATAATATACCATAACATGTCACACCACCTTCACCAAGTAAAGTTATCGGACTCAACCAAGTCTTTTACAGGCTGTGAAGCATGTTCATTAAAAAGGAGGCAGACTAATCAGAATTTAGCTGATGAATTACAGTGTTGATGAGCTCTACCAGATGTAACATTAATGTATTAGGTGTTCCGATTTGATTCCCTCAGCACCACCAAATTGATGGAATGTTATTTTTACTATTTTTAACTAAATGAACAAGCTTATTTTGATACAGATAATAAAAAGAAAGGGAAATTATCTAATTTTCAAAGAGATAAGCCATAGATTGCAGAAAACATTGTATATTGAAGATTGATTGAAAGAGAATATCTTCAAAAAGCAATATTTTTTTCAGCCTTTTACAGCCTTATGATGAGAGAATCTGAGGTTCCTTATTATTATTGTTATTACAATCTAAACGGCCCATCAACACATAAAAGGTCATTAGGGCCATCAACCGGTGAATAACAGAGCGATCCAAAAGGAAATAACATTAAACAAACTAAAAGGTAAAAGTTAATGCTAAAAATCTTAAATGGTTATATTATCATAAAAGATTAAACTGGTAAGTCAAATCTAAAGGCAGATTTCATGACAAAAGACATACAGAGGTGAACCATTCCTACTGAGGTGGTACTACTGAAGGGTGCTTTACATCAATTATCTATAATGTGATTACCTATATATATTACATTTCTACATCTAAAATAGTGACATACTGACCAGATATATTACAGGTAAAAACATGTGGAGTCACTGTGTATCTCAGAACAAAAAGAAAAAAGAGTAGTGTCCCAACCAAATATTCTTCGACTTACTACGCCTCGTCGAGGAGTCTGGGGTGAGGGGCCAGCACTTCCTGGTGGTGTAGAGCTTGGACTTCGGGATCGTAGACCTCGGGATCGATCACTTGCCATGTTCTCTGCAGATCCTTGCCAACTTGTTCGGAGCATGGCCTTCCTCATTCCAGCAGATGTTGTTTGTATAAGAGATGTGATGGCTTTTGCACGATTGCTCTTTCTAAATGAAGTACTTCTTAAAAAGGAGTCATCTAAAGATCGGCTTGATACTGCAAGTCAACAAGCCAGTTATACAATGACAATATAAAGCATGCTCTAATCAGCCAGTCTACCAGGAAGTGGTCTCAACATTTCTAATACATGTAACATATATATCTGGCCATGTCTGGTATTAAGCCCACCCTTGATTATAGCACACAAATACTATCGAATTGTCATCCTTTACATGGAATCAAAGTTTTTGTTTCAGTCTCTGGGCTTATTACAGGAAAAAAGATTAAAAAAATGGAAAATAATGAAATTTGACGAAACAAAAATTTTATAGAGTGAATAATGGTGGTGAGTAATATAAAAAATCTTTTAATGGCGATTTTCTGACCACTATTCCTGGTGTTTCTGGCAACACATCATGCATCGATACACAGAGACCTGTGTAATCTGACACCAGTGAAATCGGTGTATTTTGTCATTCTTTGTAATATGACTGATGTGTAGCACAGGGTGTAAGATTACAAAAGTTTTCCTGTATATATAGTACTAGCATCTGTAAAGTTCAGCACAGCAATAAAGGTGAAAGATATTGAGGAAGGATTAGACAGCAGCGAGAGATTTCTGTAGATATTGATCATGCACACTTAATACAGATACCACTAATATTTTTATATAGGTATAGCTGTGACTGCTCTGTCATCACTGATGTGGACCGACATATTTATCTACAGTTCAGAGGTCATTAGCATTCTGTCAGTTAAACAATTTTCTAAATATTTTCATAGAAATTAAAATGTTTGGACCAAATCATTAACACTGTATATCAAAATCATTACAAAGACTTTTAAAATCTACTTTTTTAGTAACATTTGTGAAAACATCAATAGCAGAAAAGTAAAAAATGGTTAAATCTGTTTTATCATCTATTTTAACTAGCACATAACTGACCAAAATCGAAAAAAAAAAAACTAAAATGTTTGAAAAAAAAAAGATATCAGAAAAGCTGTTGAGTTTCAATATCAAGATGGTGTTTGTATTACTCTGTATCAATGTCAGGACATGTAAATATAGGTACAGTGTTTATAACAGTACTAACAAGAAGATATACATCTCATACTAAACAACAGTGAGCAAGACTTACCTAATGAAGCACCAAGTCGTCGGGAAAGCAACATTTCTGCAAAATAAGAAAGTCTTACATTATAAACAAAGACAGATCTTCCTGTTTCTAATATGAGATACAGTGTGATTATCACGGATATGACTGTTTCTGTGGACTTTGTTTGGTCCGACAAATGATATTATTTATCATCAGATGTTTGTGAATCAATATATCATGATGAATATAAAGTCATCAATATAAGTGGAAACTATATGAAAATTTTTGTTCAATAGAACACATCCTTTCTGAAGCATGCATATTTACATCATTACGGATATGTTCATCAGTTTTTTTGTATATCTAGTCTGAAACAAGCAGAAGAAAACTAGACCTATTTATCTGAACACTTATTGTCAAGATGTCGGTAAGCCAATGATCATAACTGAAATGTACATCATTGTAAACAGAAACATTGTAACAACTCATTCATTGTTATTTTACTGTCGACTTGTGGAATTTGTCGATCAACAGTTTTCGAAAAGTTGACCAGTGGATCCACAGTACAGATATCACCCTCTTTACTTGATGGATGTATATATTTGTATTTTATGTATCTAAGAAACAATCCACCATCGCTAGAGAATTACAGTACAGAATTACTAATTTGTAGAGATAATACTTCAGGGGTGTAGTCTTGTCTACAACTAGCAGCTAGCACTTCCATTGTTCGGGAGTATTGGAATATTTTTTTTTCAAGATTCAAATAAATAAATTCTCAGACAAGTCGAATTTTGAAAGGTAAACCTAGACATACTAAAGCTCTAGACAAGACATTGTACACTCCTGTAATTAGTAAAGTTAATGTTTAAGTAAATGTTATAATATAAATTGTTGCTATGGTAACACATGCTGGTAATTTTAACAATATGGTGGCACTTCATCTTATAAAAAAAGACAAACAAGCACAACAAAGAGAAAACATTTACACAATTCTGGCTTACAGTAAAAAAAATCATCAGTCCTTCAAAGGTACACAGTCATTAACTGTCTCAGAAACAGAATCCAAAGCAGCAATGATAACTAAGAACACACCAATCATAACAAAATCATACAGAATCAATTACAGGGCTAAAACTGGAAATAAAATAATGTACAGATCATTTTATAAAACAAAAGTTATATAAGGCCTGTATCTCTCTTACTTCATTTACATCATGTTTATGTGGATACAAATTATAAAAAAAATATTTAATTGACCAAACTTTCCTTGTCTTTAAAATACACATTAATGTCAATTATAAACTTTGACCCCTGAATGAGTATCAAGGGGCATTTATCAAGCAGAGTAAAATCCCCTTCCAAGCTCAGTAAAAATCAGGACCATCACACACATCTTGGTTACTATTTCTCATCAGTACACTACAAGTATTCCCAGTACAAACACTGCAAACCATTACAGGTAAAAACAGGGATGTGTCTTCATTCCAGAGACTGATGCAAGGATTAAAGTGTGAAGAGGGAAAAGTGCAAATTACATTCATTTCCAAATATATTTGAAAGCTATATAATGTATTTCTTTTTCAAATAAATCTAAAAGTTTTCTCCTAAACGTTAATAATGAAATCAGTCGCTATGTAACTACATCCAACAGAGATTGGTACAGAGAAAACATTTCAAAAATAATATATTTCACATGAGAGAGAATCAACCACTACCTAAAGTGAAGACAAGGTTTCAAAGGAAGGGAGACAACTGTCTATACACTAAATAATATCTGGGTAAGAAAGGCACTTCATACCAAATAAACAAAAAGTACTTACACAAATACCTTATGAGGAGTCCCTCTGACCCCTGGAGGTCATCCAAATTTAAATATATAAAAGTAAACCTTTCTTCTAAAAGATAAAAAATCATTTTACATGAAACATGCACAGTCACAAACATAATGATTTTGAGCTTTTTACAATGTGGATAGTTTTCTAATAAAAACAGACATTTCTGTATTTGAGATATATCACACCATAGGTGAATTTAAACAGCAGTAATACATGGTGCTGTTGATAGGGTTAAACAAACGTGTTGTTTCCAAGAAAGAAAAGTCTTTCTCCCTGATTGATCTGTAAATCAATTGATGAATCATAGCTTCCAAAAGTCTAATTCTTATCCAACCAAACTGCACTCAGAAAAGATATGTATAAATGTTCCTCGAGACTTTTGAAAAAAAAATTTCTGCTAAGTTACCAATCTATATTCTATTTCCTGTATAGCGATATAATGGTAAGTGAAATTGATCTTGTATTATGTACAATAGCGATATTATTCTGAAACCCAAATCAATTGTTCATGTAGTTCCAATCCAATGGTTGATCTATTACAACATAAGACACATCAAAGTCTGACAAAAGTAAACACAATGACTTATAATCCATTAGACAGACAAGTAAAATAACATACTATTTAAGAAACAAAACAAAAATACATTTGATACAATAGTTTATTATGGTCTGTAATTTACATCATAACAACAGTACAGTAGAAATAAGCTAAGAGCCAACAATGGTATATAGAGACATACTGTTGTCTATATCATGTAATGTATAGCACAGCGCTGGACTGTTCATTAATAGTATGTATCATTTATATAAGAAATTAGACCAGGATTCTGTGTTATATCTCTATATTATGCACTATTTTGTATCTTAAAACCCTAGTTGACATAAGTGAATAAAGGTGTGTCACAAGAACAGCATTAAAATATAGGAGAGATGGTACAACAAAAAAACAAATGTTTCATTTGGCCTTAGTGAAGTCTTATTCCTTTTTAATTTGATTTTTATGAAGGTTTTATTGGGTAATAAATGTGTTTGACTTCCCTATTAAAATCTCTGTATGTATGTCTTGTTACCTTAATTCTACCGTACATGATAATCCAACATTGAGAAACAAATTATGCATTTAGAAGAGTTAATGAATTGAGTGAGCATAGCTTATGTTTGGCAGCAAGTTTAAACTTAACGACTACAATATATATATATATATTACTATTTAGACATTGATATAACAATACCAGGAACTAGGTACAAATAAACAAGTAATTACATTTCTCTAGATACAAAAACATTGAAAAGCTAACTGATGCTATTTAAAAAATATTACAACAAAAGAACCTTCTGATTGAGCTAACCAAAAGTATGTAAGCTTCGTACTGAAATGTATATCTATAGTAAACATAGCACAGAAGTAGATTATAACTTCACTGATGTATGACAGGGTTGTGACACAAGCGCTGGAAGCAAGGCTGCAAGTATTGTGACTGTCATTTTAAACATTTTATTCAAAATTTAATTATCATTATGAATTTAAATTTGAATTTACAAGACTTGACCCTAAATCTAGCCTGTTATTTAGAGAGAAAAAGATTATTATACTCTCTGTTAAATCAGAATAGTTTATCATTGTGACACAAAAACACTTTACCTTCGAATTTTATCTCTGTATAACCAACAGTATCCCTGATTTTGTATCAATCTCTTTATCACAAGACATACATTCTAAACAGATTCACTCATTTTTAAAAGTACAAATGATAAAAGTATTACACATGAGACAAATCAATCACAGATGTTAATGTTTTAATGCTGCAGTCGTCATTAGAGTAAGTACATTACATTTCTCAATTAGATTTCACCAAAAAGTAGCGCAAAACAAAACTGAATGTTATCATTGTTAAATACATGATATCAGTTGATTTCTTGTCATGCCATACACATCCACTTAAACATGCGTATTGTCTAAAGTAGTACAATAAATTCATGCTAAACCTATAGCAGTTCACAATCTACCAACATATTTATTTCTGAAATAATTTGAAAAATGCTTCATGCGATGTAATTGTAACTTTTAACACAGATAAATCCAGTATCAACAAACTTTAACATGTAACATATTGGTACATTTTAAATATTTTTTGTTTGCATATTTTGAAATTTCAATTATAATCAAATGTCACACTTTTTAACAATTACTAAACGAGACAAGGTGATTCCTATTTTTCAGCCCAGCTGACTGTGATGAGAGTGCTCATGTTCATTTTGACTCTTTATTTTCAATGTAGGAGTAGACTAGAATACAAAGAGAAAACTGACACGATCGATGATCTCCTACACACCTGACTGAGGACCCCAGCACTCTACAGGTGGAGCATGCTATTCACAGTCACATGACCCCACAAGAAGAATGGTGACATGAAATTTACGGTAAATTATTTTTGAAAAGCTATAAAAAAAGGCTGAAAACTGACAAATAAGAACTCCAAAGTAAGGAAGTAGTCTATCTCACGCTGGTCATCAATATCAGGTTTGATTTTTATAATTAAGCTGTGTATGTTTTCAGCATGAAGCATCATGTTATGGACAAGATTCCAGTAGACAGAGTAACAGTGCATTCATTTATCATGGTGACAAGTTAAACAAATCTGCGGAAACATTCTTATGTTGATGATTTCTAAGTTAATCATGCAAATATTTCACATTAATAATATCTCAGCCTTAATATTAAGCCAACTCAGTGAAGTGAGACTTCAAATGAGGCCAAATAATTTCAGGTACGAGTAATTCCAAGTTAATACTGATGATGGTCATGGGCTTAGCTTTGTACTGTAGTTACTGAGGTGTATGTGGAAGGAACAAAGAAATTGGGAAATACAGACATTTAAAGTCATGCCAGAATCATTCAAATGTGTCAATACAAGGACATTACAAAGCACAAATGTGCAGCTGCAATGCATGTAGTATGAAAATGAGGTCAGGTTGTGGTCAGTTTGAATGCTGATATTGTTGTAATGCTGTCATCTAGTGCTTTATGTACAACTTTTCCATGAATATGTGGAAATTCTGTTCTAATTCATTAAATAAGCAAATAAAAATTTGCAGAAAATAAATTAACGTCATGATCATTCAGGGTTTAAGGATAAGTTATATAAAAAGACCTCAGTTTGTGGGTTATGTCTAATCGCTCCTCGCTTGTAAACACATCCTGTTGAATGATAAAATAGTAAAAACATACATTAAAACACCACAATAGCTCTAGTAATGGATTTACTGGCTGAAGAAAAACATGTAATACTGACCCATTTTCAAAGGTTGGAACACATTCAAAATATAGTGACTTTTCAAAGAAAAGTGGCCCATAGCAAGATTTAAAGTTAGAAAAGGAATGTGTATCATTATTGACAATTATAAACAAATGTTTAAATAATTGTATTGTCTTGACAACAAAGTATCATGTAAAATACTTATAATTTCATATATTCATATCATACTTTTCACTATGTTATCACCATGTGGAATTTTAATTAAGGGGAGATAATCATTCAGGGGAGATAATTATTTCAACATCATCCCAAAATTCTGTTACAGAAATGTGTATATGCAATTCATCATTAACTTAAAGGTGTAAATAACCACAATCATTGATGGAGAACTTAAGAAAAGTGAAGAGTCTTGTAGTAGAGTCAGAAAATGACATTCAACATATAGATTCATAGGTAAATAATCTAAATAAGATTTACCGGTTTCTAGCATCTGTGCTACAGAAAATAAAATGACAACTTGAATATGCAATATTAATCCTCACAGTCTTAGTCTACAGAATAAATAACTGATTAGCATATAAAAACTTATAACCCTTCTCCTTAAAACTACTTGTCATCTCCCTATAACAGTATCAACAGTGTGCAGTACAATCACAGTATCTTCACTGCAATAATCATCATCATCACAGTTTCTGTCCTTCATGTAAATACAAAAGACAGGTTTTATTAAACAATCCTGCTATTGTTGCCTTTACTTATATGGTACATATCATAAAAATAGCATTTTACCACTACTGAGTACATTAATTATTCATGTCATATGGTCAATTGGTGCTTAATTCACCAGTTTGGGAAGAAAATACATGGCAGATATCTATTTCACCAGTTTGTAGAAGCAACACACAGTAGATATCTATTTAACCACGTTTGGGGAGGTAACACACAGTACATATCTATTTAACCAGTTTGGGAAGGTAACACACAGTAGATATCTACTTAACCAGTTTGGGAAGGTAACACACAGTAGATATCTACTTAACCAGGTTTGGGGAGGTATTACACAGTACCTATCTATTTAACCAGTTTGTGTAGGTAACACACAGTAGATATCTACTTAACCAGGTTTGGGGAGGTATTACACAGTACCTATCTATTTAACCAGTTTGTGTAGGTAACACACAGTACCTATCTATTTAACCAGTTTGTGTAGGTAACACACAGTAGAAATTTATTTAACCAGGTTTGGGGAGGTTAAACAGCTTATATCTATTCCACCAGCTTGGAGAGGTAACATGCAGTACATATCTATTTAACCAGGTTAGGGGAGGTAACACACAGTATTTCTATTTAACCAGTTTGGAGAGGTAACACACAGTTAATATTTAACCAAGGTTAGGGGAGGTAACACACAGTATTTTTATTTAACCAGTTTGGAGAGGTTCCACACAGTAAATATTGAACCATGTTGACGTGATGAACCTTGCTATATAAACAAGGATTGTTTGTAATGATGTTACTGTTAAGAAGTTAATAATCAATGCATGATTAAGTGGTTAATATCTCTTTTTGCATGGTTTTGTGCTAAAAACTTTTCTGAAGCAAAAATCATGCAAAAAATACCAACTGTTAATGACATCCAGGAGATGATAATTCTGGTTTCCTTATTCAGATTTACTGACAAGTGGCATATAACACACCAGTTGGCTATTACATGCCTTCACAGTGCAGGAATATTTCAAGGCATACACTTAAACTAACTTCACACATTGATTCTAGACTAGAGTCTGAAGTCATGGTAACAATGGAAGTTTTTGAATCAATGACCTGAAATTCATGTTATTGATAAACTTTAAATCTTCTTGAGAATTCACAGACAGAACAGATTCTATACAAAGTTGAGGTATGTAGCACTAGAAATGTGTGTAATACAACCCATTCTATATTAACTTTTTTATAAATTCAAAAGAATTCAAACTTGTTTACGTTATTGTAAATTGTTATGGCAAGCAATTTATATTTATAGTTCTTCTAAATAGAAATAAACTTTTAAAATTTAAGAAAAATGGCAAGCAACTATTTGTTTGTAGATGATGTAAAATAAAATGAAGTAAAACAAGACGTATGTAACTAGGCATGGTGTATAAAGGAGTATCATTATATAGTCATCACAAGTTTTTATAAAACATATATTTGGTAGTATAAGGCACACATATATAACAAACAAGTCAACAAAACTCGTATCGTCAAGTATCACATTAACTACATCAAAAAAATCTTAAAATCTGAAGTGATTATAAAGAAACTAATTTATGTAACAGTAATATTAGAAGTTTGTGACTAGAGGGATAACATTTTGTTTGTTCCAGTGACAGAACTCTCCTGATTACAGCTTAGACTAACACCCAGTTAAAGCTAGAGGGATAACATTTTGTTTGTTCCAGTGACAGAACTCTCCTGATTACAGCTTAGACTAACACCCAGTTAAAGCTAGAGGGATAACATTTTGTTTGTTCCAGTGACAGAACTCTCCTGATTACAGCTTAGACTAACACCCAGTTAAAGCTAGAGGGATAGCATTTTGTTTGTTCCAGTGACAGAACTCTCCTGATTACAGCTTAGACTAACACCCAGTTAAAGCTAGAGGGATAACATTTTGTTTGTTCCAGTGACAGAACTCTCCTGATTACAGCTTAGACCAACACCCAGTTAAAGCTTTTGTGTCCAAAACAAAGAGTAAAGCCTTTCTTTGTCTATAAAATATATATTGCCAAGTCAACAAAAATATTTGGATTGGTACCCCCCCTCTCTCTCTCTCTAGATGTCTCTCTCTCCCCTACTCCTCTCTCTCTGTCTTATGTTCTCTCCCCCTCACACAAACTCTCTCTCTAGATGTCTGTACCTCTCTCTCTGTCTGTTTCTCACCCCTCCCTCACACACACTCTCTCTTGATGTCTATATCCCCCTCCCTCACACACACTCTCTCTAGATGTCGATATTCCCCCTCCCTCACACACTCTCTCTCTCTCTAGATGTCTATATCCCCCCTCCCTCACACACACACACATTCTCTCTAGATGTCTATATCCCTCCTCCCTCACACACATGCTATCTCTTTAGATGTCTATATCCCCCTCCCTCACACACACACACTCTCTCCAGATGACTGTATCCCCCTCCCTCACACACTTTCTCTAGATGTCTATATCCCACCACCCCCACCACCCCCCCCCCCACACACACACACACTCTCTCTCTCTCTCTAGATGTCTATATCCCCCCTCCCTCACACACATTCTCTCTCTAGATGACTATATCTCCCCTCCTTCACAAAAGCTCTCTCTCTAGATGTCTATATCCCCCCTCCCTCACACACTCTCTCTTTAGATGTCTATATCCCCCTCCCATATACCCATGCACACACTCTCTCTCTAGATGTCTATATCCCCCCTCCCATATACACACACACACTCTCTCTAGATGTCGATATCCCCCTCCCTCACACACACACTCTCTCTAGATGTCTATATCCCCCTCCCATATACACATGCAAACACTCTCTCTCTAGATGTCTATATCCCCCTCCCATATACACATGCACACACTCTCTCTCTAGATGTCTATATCCCCCCTCCCTCACACACACACACACACACACACACACACACACACACACCCACACACACACACACACACACACACACACTCTAGATGTCGATATCCCCCCTCCCTCACACACAGACACACACTCTCTAGATGTCTATATACCCCTCCCTCACACACACACTCTCTAGATGCCTGTATCAATCCTAACAATAACAGCTAAATTAAAAGCTTTGTAGCAAAGAGTAATATGATGTGTTAGAATGGCACAGACAGATGACCTTGTTTACACATCTGCTGTGCAAACTTTGTCTATATAACCTATATGTTTGCAGCATGTATACAGTTAAATGGAAAAAGCAACAATTAAAGAAAAAAAATACAGCTGTAAATAAAGAGTCAATGAAAAAAATGATAATGTCTGCTGCCTTGTAAACATTGTCTGCGTATACAGCTCAGTAACATAACTGAATCGTTGTAACAACCTGTCTCTGAAACCACTTACAAAGAAACAGGGTCTGCTGTGCCTTTACCCCCTCACTAACAATATCGAGGGCAACAAGTCTAAGGTTATGATTAAATCTTAAACTTACAAAACTAAAAAAATCAAATATGATGAAATTAAAATCTAAGATGGCAAACTATAGTTTAACTTTTCTTGTAAACATTACCATCTTTTAGAAAACAAACTTATCAAATAAAGTCATGAGCAAAGAGGTCTAGGAACTACTGAACCTCATCCATGTAATTAACAATTCCAATGGAGGTTGGAAGTCATAGGCCACCCATACTGAGGTGCTGTATTTGTATAGAAGATCGGAGACTTTGTCGGGAATTAGGCTCCACCCCTGATGATCTGCGAAGGACCAGAGAGGATCGAGCTGAGGATGGGAGCTCCGGCCCTTGTAGGGTAACGGAGGTTGTTAGATCATGGGTTATGTCCCCTGGGCCAGGGTTAGGTACCGTAGGAATGATTTGCTTACGTTGAGCCTTCGTAGAAGCTGAATTGGGTAGATACTGCTTTGCCTTTTTACCACTGAAGTCTCGAATGTTTGGATCAGCTTCTGGAAGGAACAAATAAGAAAATTCATCAATGCTGATCAGGATGTATTCGGATCAATATAACAGAAGTGATTGTAGATCTACTTACTGAATGTCTGGACTAGTAACTCGATGATCTGTTCATGGCCATGCATCGAGGCGAGATGTAGAGGTGTATAGCCCTGTAATATAGTGAATTGTGACCTGGTTTTAGTACTCATATGTAACATGTACAATCTTTTTTTCCCAAGTATCATTAGTTAGGGAGAACTTATATTTAAAGTTTTCACTGTCTGCCATCTTTTAAAGTGGATAAGAAATGATGATAACCTTTATCTTCAATACTTGAGTAGTCTTATATGATAAATCTTTGTTCGTTGATACACTGTTCATGTCAGATTTCAAGGAGGTTGATTTTCAAATATCATATATACAGTGTAGACTCACCCCCTAGTGATGGTAACCATGACAGCCAAGTGATCAGACATCAACAAGATCATCATATGGAAAAAGAACAAAACAGACATAAATACATGCTGGGCGTATTGACATATATTTGTAAGGCTGAAGTATCACAGTTTAAAACCCTGATATCTTAAGGTTATATGTGTTGGGTCAGTCAAAAACAAGCATCCATGCTTCATTACTCGACTGTATCCTGACAATAAAAATCAGAAATTTATTACTTAGAATCATAAATTAACCATATTATGCACAAGTACTCATAAATACAAAAGTAAGCAGGAACTATTAAAGGGAAGTAACTCCTAGGAAAAATGCAACACCAGAATAACTCATGACATTAACCGACAGCAACATGTCTGTTCAGCTGAGATACCTTCCTTCCACTAAAAAAGTATATAAATGATAGCTAGTTTGCCAGAAAAGTGTGTAGATTATACTTACATTCTGCATATCCAGGTGATCATGGAAAGAAAGGAATCATTAAATGTATTATCAGTGTGGAGACAAAATTCAATACAGAAGTCAGTTGTAAAATACTATACATTATCTAGTTATTACAAAATAAAGTTATCATGTAACTACCCTGTTATAAGTATAATAAGACTTATTCCATAATTGTAATTTCACATGTGTAATATGACCTAAAAGAACTGTGATTGGCTGAAGGTTTCAATTGTTTCTATGGTAACATCATAGCTTTGTGAGGTCACCAAAGAAAGAGATATAAAATAAGAATATCTGTGAAAGAATGTGTTGCCAGAACAGATGGAAAACCTGTCAACCAACCAGTGTAAGAAAAGGACAGAAGATTAAGGAGATATTTACCGTTCTCTTGTTGATGTCAATGTTTGTCTTGCCCAACACAAGCTTCAGAACCTCAGGGTTACCATGTTTAGCAGCCCAATGTACAGCTGTCTGTCAACACAATTACACACATCGGTTAACAGTCACTGACGCATGGTGATCAAATATCATAGCCCTAAAAAATCAGCAGTGTCTTTTAATCACTTCTACGATATAATCATCACATTTTTGTAAATAAAATTCAGAACTATTTTATGTTTTAAGACTTAACTTTGAATTTCCAAATTCCAGAAAATGGCAATGAAATGTTTGATGATTCCGATGGTTTCTTGTGATTTGTACAGGTCATCATGAACATGACAACATTTGTATACCTCATCATTAACATGACAACATTTGTACAGGTCATCATTAACATGACAACATTTGTATAGGTCATCATTAACATGACAACATTCGTACAGGTCATCATTAACATGACAACATTCGTATAGGTCATCATTAACATGACAACATTTGTATAGGTCATCATTAACATGACAACATTTGTACAGGTCAGGTCATCATTAACATGACAACATTTGTACAGGTCATCATTAACATGACAACATTTGTATAGGTCATCATTAACATGACAACATTTGTATAGGTCATCATTAACATGACAACATTTGTATAGGTCATCATTAACATGAACATGACAATCATGAACATGACAACATTCGTATAGGTCATCATGAACATGACAACATTTGTATACGTCATCATGAACATGACAACATTTGTACAGGTCATCATGAACATGACAACATTTGTATAGGTCATCATTAACTTGACAACATTCGTACAGGTCATCATTAACATGACAACATTCGTAAAGGTCATCATTAACATGACAACATTCGTATAGGTCATCATTAACATGACAACATTTGTATAGGTCATCATTAACATGACAACATTTGTATAGGTCATCATTAACATGACAACATTCGTATAGGTCATCATTAACATGACAACATTTGTATAGGTCATCATTAACATGACAACATTTGTATAGGTCATCATTAACATGACAACATTCGTATAGGTCATCATTAACATGACAACATTTGTACAGGTCATCATTAACATGACAACATTTGTATAGGTCATCATTAACATGACAACATTTGTACAGGTCATCATGAACATGACAACATTTGTATAGGTCATCATGAACATGACAACATTTGTACAGGTCATCATGAACATGACAACATTTGTATAGGTCATCATCAACATGACAACATTTGTACAGGTCATCATTAACATGACAACGTTCAGTCAGTTGGTCAGTATACAGATAATTCATGATATCAAAATCAAGAACATAAACACAGAATTATCACCTATATGAAATCACCACACATCCAGCTGTACTTACATACTAATGAGGAAGGATCCAACCAGTGCAGCAGCCGCAACAAGACAGGGAAACAATAACATGATAAATATTCCTTTAAAAAATCATCCACACAAAAACAGGCAGTAATTTTTTACCATGAAAAGTATTTATATTTACTATATCTAATTGTTTATATCAATTAAGACTCCTTATATAGAGACTGTAAACAATAAAATAGTATCAACTTATGGTAAATAGGTACAACGATAAATTTATACATCCGCAATAATTGTTATATATTCAACAGACAGAAACTGCAATGAAAGCAATAATATCTTATTACAATATTTTGAGTGTTGAAAGTGCTAAAATATGTTCACCACAAAGATATATATATTGACAGTATGTGGTAACACCGTCAGAATATGAGAAATATATCATCAAAATTTTTAACAGATACAATAAATATTTTTTGTACAGTGAACTAGTAATACATTACCTCTGAAGAAAACATTACTAAGCAATGACTTATCATATAAATCTCCTGTTTACCAACTACAGGCATTAGCCAGCATCACATTCTGTGTTATACTTACGCCCTGGAGAGGTAGGACATGAAAAAGAGAATCAAGAGAAAATATTAGAAATAAAAGAAGGAGATTAAATTTAGAGTATTCACACTAGTATCCAGTAAAAAGACACCAATCTCTTTATGTCTTATTTTATTTTCAGTACCATTTTCGCTGTAACAATCTCAAACCATACGTGTTATAATCTTGGACAGTCCTAGGAAGGCGTAAGCAGCACTTCACTTATCTTAAGACATTACTCTACATCAAAGAGGAGGTGAAGCAGGCACCATGGAAGTATAGACTTTAATTCTAGTTCCTAGAAAGGGTTTACACAACTAGGTATAACCAAAACTTTCAGAAATAACTCTTTAAACATATAACTTTGTTGTTTCAGTACACGTTAAGATTAAGACGTTATAGTGACAGCTAATGTTTGTTACTTGGGGAGGTAATCCATCAACAGTTGGGGGGTAAAGAGACAGTACTTACATTTGTGAAGTCCTTTCAGATGGAACAGGAAACAGGGAAAAAAGAAAGAAAACAGACATTAAATTACCTGATGTTTAAACACGGTCATCTAAAGCTGACCATAATCACAAGCTCTAATGTTGTGATAATTCACCTATTTACGGTCAAATGTTTTCATTAAAATTGATATTAAATCAAAACACAAACTATGGCAGGCTGATTCTGGGCAATCAAATGCAGTTCATCAATCACAAAAAATCTCAGGGCATGCAAATGTCTGTCAGTTTCAGATAAACCAGCACCTAATAAACCCACAAAAAATCCTGGTCCTTATTTTGTTGTTAATATCGTTCTTGTTTAGGTAGTGTGACCATGACAAATTTATCTTATCCCAATCGTCATGCTAGATAAATGGCAGTTATTTACAGGGATGTAGGTATGTTTATCCATGTAAGTTCATGTAATGTGGCTGAAATAGTTTTTAGTAGCATTTAAAACTTTAGCATAAACACTAATCTTATCTCCAACTAATTTACAGAATGCCTCCACACACAATCCTACACACTAATACTACAGCATGTAAAATACTTACCCTCACTCTCACCAAGTCAGGATTCTTGGAGAGGAGTTTGTGCATGGGATGATAATCTCCGGAGGCACAAACTACCAACCACTCACGCTCATGAGGTTCCAACTATGTGAACACAATCATAACCCAATATAAAATTAATTAAAAAGGAGGTAAAATATGGACAAAAGAAATATTTACACAAAGACTCTTAAAAAAGTAGCAGGAGACTAAACCCAGATGTTCCAGAAGAGCAAGCATATTTTGCTTCATTGACAAGACCCGCCATGAAAATCTTTGTCAATCCATGTAAGTAATGTCACATTCTCAAATGAGAACACGGTATATAACAATGGGATAAACAGGCAAACTAATGAGCATCACACATGTCTTGTATCACACAAATAAACAGAATATTTCTCAATGAGATCACTACTACCATTGAAAAACTTCTCCATAATTTTCTAAATCATGCAAAATCATCAAATACCAAATGAAAAAGAGATAAACATTCTCCTTTCCTTAATGTATAGATAACAGCTCACAGATATATGAATTGTACTAACTTTTTTTTATAATATACATGTACCCAGGTATTTAAGTTTTAGATACAAACAAAGGGAAGTAACAACTTCTGTAATGGAGTTTCCATTCCAGCATACAGTTTAAAAGGGAGGTAATTACCATGTTGACATACATACCAAAGTATAGGCAGATCCTGAGGAGTGGGAGTCCTCATCAACATCTCGTTCTCGATCACGTGACTGAAATTTATAGTTGTTAAAGCAAAATCAATACAAATGAAAAAAACAAACACTTTCTTAATTTAGTAAACTGATTAATTTAGTTAAAGCATGCTTATAACAAAAAACAGAAACAAAGCTCCAGTCTTTTGTTAGTATACAAGTATTCCCATCCAAAAATTAAAAAAAAAAAAAAGAATCAAATATTTCATATAAAACCTGACTTACTTCATTCATAATATTATAAATTATTAGACCCTGAAAAACTAATTTTGTAAGTAAACTATACAAAGATCTTAAGATTTTGTGTCTCAACCTAGAACTCTATAGAAAAGCAATGAAAATTTTAAAAATTGGCCATGCATAAGGATATCACTTTGTACTAACTAAAAGTACATGTAAAATGTTATGAACAAGTTTTGGCTTAAATCTGTGTTTCAGTCTCGGGGATACAACGTTGTTTTCTGATAAACATAGATCTGTTTGAGTATAGAAATATAGAAATGCATCTTTTTCAACAACAGTTTAAAAAAAAAAAATGAGAGTAGATATATAAATTTTTTTCATAAAGGAATTCCCAAGAAACTACTTGTACATGACATTTATTATCATTTATAAATATCTCTGGAATTGTAAATAAAGGCTATTGTATACCAGAACTATACCTAGAGACTATTAATATTTATAATAAGCTGATGACCAATTCAAAGATCCTGTTTTTTCATGGATAGTCTGAATCGGAATCATGGCACAGAAGACACCTTAATAATTAAATTTATAAATCAATTATCCAACCAGAAAATTAGGTAAAGAGGCATATATAATACTATCTACCATCACATGTTAGAAAGTTTGCTGATATCACAACAAAGGGTAAAATACTTCATGCAGTTCCCCATGCATAACCTGCTCAGGTTAATCTTCAGCGATACCCTGTATCATATTATTAGACTAGGAACTGAGAATGTTTAAACAAAAATGTGATTCCAGTTCTGTGATGTTAACTATAATCATAATGAAGCAATTGTATGCAGCAGTTATTTTGCAAAACAAGGAACTTTGATTAAAGTTAGCAAGAAGAAGCAAACAATGTGTTTTGTTGTTATACCTAAACAATTTCATTAAATCATGCTTGTTCCTGTAAAATACTTACAAGATGTTTTAAAATATCACTGTCATCATCAAGTCTCTGGCAGTGAAACCTACATGCTGTTATGTAAGTTACCTAATTTATGTTGAAACCTTTGACAACTTTACCTATCTATTGATAACTACAGGACTGTCACCAGTACGTTTCTACATCTTTCTGACAGGTTATTGAGTCAAAGTCACTATTATCAAAGACCATGTACTTGTATAATACTTGGGAGTAGACCTAAACATCAAAGTAATGTAACATACATCTATATGTTTATAAACAAATTTCTCTCCATATCTTAGTAATGAATCACATTACTGTAAATTGTCAAAATGTAATGAAGTCAAATGTAGATTTTAAACCTGATTTATCAAGATTTTTTTTTATCCTACTCAGCAACAGTTCTTTTTTTCATTCCTTTGGTAAAAATATAGCAATTTACAAGTTCTTTGGTACAAATAGTCAGAGATCTTCTGAAAGGATTATAGTAAGTATGATTACAATATTTTTTGTTCTACTTAGATGAACTCTAAATTCTGATAAAACCCCAGTTAGTATAAAACTGACTCTTATGTCTTTCTTTTTATGATGGCTGACTCGTTGTAATTCAGACTCTGTCTCCATGCGATTCAAATGTTTGGCACGGTCCTTGACACTTATGATTGAGGCATTGACATCATCCAAGTCTGTACTGGAGGCAATGGACTGCTGGGAACCCCTGGACACCTGCAAGGTCAAACGGGTACAAAACCGCCCAAAGGTCATCAATGATCACCATACAATATCAGATGACATATCCAAATATGATATCTGGAGCATGCAAATTTCTAGGATTTCACACAAATATTAAGTATGATAAACAAGTGGTCAGGCAGGTAAGTAGATACAGGTTCTTATCATGATCAACTCATCACATCTGATGGTACAAGTTGATGTTTCATTAGAAGTTGTGATGGAAAAACAGCTTGTCCCATATATTTCCCTTCAAGACGTTCTCCTTAACTTGAATTGTTAACGATAAATACAGTGTACTATCCCTATATACAGTATACCATTCCTCCCACTATACAGTATACCATCCCTGTATACAGTATTCTATCCCTGTATACAGTATACCATTCCTCCCACTATACAGTATACCATCCCTGTATACAGTATACCATTCCTCCCACTATACAGTATACCATCCCTGTATACAGTATACCATTCTCCCACTATACCCTGTATACAGTATACCATACAGTCCTCCCACTATACAGTATACCATCCCTGTATACAGTATACCATTCCTCCCACTATACAGTATACCATCCCTGTATACAGTATACCATTCCTCCCACTATACAGTATACCATCCCTGTATACAGTATACCATCCCTGTATACAGTATACCATTCCTCCCACTATACAGTATACCATCCCTGTATACAGTATACCATTCCTCCCACTATACAGTATACCATCCCTGTATACAGTATACCATTCCTCCCACTATACAGTATACCATCCCTGTATACAGTATTCTATCCCTGTATACAGTATACCATTCCTCCCACTATAAAGTGTATCATCCCTGTATACTGTGTTCTAATTCCCCTACATAATAATCTCATGTAAACATACCCTTCAAACAAGGTTCACATGAATGCTGAAATGATGAGAACAATCGTAAGTAAAGGGGCAGTGTTTATCTATTTACCTATAGAATTAAAAACATAATGAGAAGTACCTTGTAATTAGTCGTTTTCTGTATTATTCACCCTTGATTATGTAAAAACTGCAATTTTAATGGGAATACAAAATGTACCATATATACAATGTTGGATTATATACTGGTAAGCTATACACACCAGCTTCTTTATATATGTTCTCTCCCAGCGGAAAAAGCCCTAAACTTGCCCCAATAAGCAAATTATATACAAACCAGACTTACACAGTGTATTAACATACAATAATAATTACGTGTTGTAAATGTTGTGCTATATTATAGGTGCAGAATGTCTGGTAAGTTGTGCATTGATCAATGTCGAAAATTAAAAAGAAACAGGTTTAGATGTTTTGGTACCGGACAAGGGTAATGTATACAGGTTTTCATCAATAAAAGGAAGATATTCCCTTCAAGGGTTTAATATCCAAAGAAGTCAAATCTAAGTTGTTTTGATGATTCTAAATCATCTATTTATAGATATGATGAATAAAAAAATAATAGATAACAAGTTATTGACAGAATTAATTTTGAAATTTCAATAAAGAACTTTGTGAACCAAGATTGTTAGCACAGCACAATAGATATAGACAGGTTTGTATGTCTACAGTTGTATTTATTGGTATCAGTCAAACATTGAGGATGTTTTAAAGATCAAAACAGACTTAAAAGACTTTCACTCATATTGACAAGTACACAACTACTGGTATGTTTCTACAATAGAATCACAACTATCTAGTCAGGACTTTAGGTGACATAAACCTCACAACAATTTCCATATGTAAAAGTGTGAATCTAAAAACAAACATTGTCATGAAACATGCTTTAAAACATGAACATGCACTGCATACTGACTATATGCAACATGAAACAATGTCAGTGTTTAAACTTTGAACACATAACACATGGTTATTTGATATAAATCTGTACAGTGGCAGTCATTTATCTTTAAAAGGAAGATTCAGGTGTATGTTGGAGTCACAGTAAAAGTGAAAAAACCAGTTGAACTCTATTTAAAAAGTAAAAAGGCCTTAACAGATGAACCCCATTTTGCCTTTATCATAGTACAAATAGTACAAACAGTACAATAGTAAAAATTAAAAGGAACCAACAGAAGGTTTTTGTTCCTGCTTTAAGCGATGTCAGAGTTCTTGAAATGGGTATGTGCTGAAATGCACAAGTTTGGAATAAGGATGAGGAGGTCCTTGAGGTCCTTGTCTAACAAACAACCACAAAACAAGGCTGAATATTTTACAGGTCATCACAGATATATCATTGGATAGTCAGAGCTTTTTATATACATGTATATATATGTTGTCCAGGGAATGTGGATAGTATGATAAGAAATTTTGTAGACATGATTTTTACTTTTGATATGTGTACTGTTGGAATGAAGGTTGAATATTTTACCTGATGCTCTATAACCAAAGATACTCCGACCAAAGTCCTGTAAGTGTTTATACTTACCGTGGACGATGCTGCTGATGATACAGATATTGTTCCCATACTGGCGCTACTAGTCATGGACATTTCTGGAGTTGTCTCCCTTGAAGTGATATTTGTCTCACTGCGTACTTTAGACATGCCACCTCCATCAACTTGATCTGAACCCCCTGGGTTTGCTGGAGGCTCAGAGTGAGCACGGATATCATTTCGTGGGTCCTGGTTGTCATTGACCTTCTGACCCTGTTCCTTAGCATCGGATCGAAATTTCTTCTTCAGCACCAAAACCTTTTCACCTCTCTGATGAAGAAATGGAAACATCAGTATAAGTGACATTTTTTTTGTTTGTTATGAAAGTTTGGCTCAAACCAGGTATTACTAACCTGGGTCAAAACATCAAACGTAGACCTGAATCTTCCATAATTCATTTTAGTTTAACCTGATTGGGATGATATTAACATGAAAAAAATGTATAAGAGAAGTAAGGCTAATCATGAAAATAATGTTATGAACATAGATAATGTATAAAACAGATCTTTTTGTCACAATATACAAACCAAATGTAAAAGAAAGAAAATTAAAATGTCATTGTGACATCCATTATGAAGATTTCATGATTTAAAAAAAAGAAAACAAAAACAGTGGCAAACACACTGCTATGAATGCCATTTATCTGTGGCATGACAAGAATGAAGCCAGGTGATCAACATATTAACTCTTAAAATCAGGGTGTTGCCTTATTACAGGACATAAGTAGAATAACATGACTGATCTGCAGTAAGTGGACTTATTATCAGCGTGGGCTTATTGTTGAAAATTCAGGTTAGATGTGAAATATCAATCACAATCATAAAGAGTCAAATGTATACTAACAAGTTACTCTGATACCAACAAAGGCAGAGGTTATATCCTATACTGATAGGCCCCTGATAGACACAAGTGTTACATCCTATACTGACAGGCCCCTGATAGACACAAATGTTACATTCTCTACTGACAGGCCCCTGATAGACTCTACTGACAGGCCCCTGATAGACACAAGTGTTACATCCTATACTGACAGGCCCCTGATAGACACAAATGTTACATTCTCTACTGACAGGCCCCTGATAGACACAAATGTTACATTCTCTACTGACAGGCCCCTGATAGACACAAGTGTTACATCCTCTACTGACAGGCCCCTGATAGACACAAATGTTACATTCTCTACTGACAGGCCCCTGATAGACACAAATGTTACATTCTCTACTGACAGGCCCCTGATAGACACAAATGTTACATTCTCTACTGACAGGCCCCTGATAGACACAAATGTTACATCCTCTACTGACAGGCCCCTGATAGACACAAGTGTTACATCCTCTACTGACAGGCCCCTGATAGACGCAATACCTAGTAAAATATACTACAAGATTCACTGAAATATGAAAAAGGTACTTACCTCATCTACTTTGATAGTTGCTAGAGTATTTACAAAATCCTTGAAATTTTCTCGATTTTTACCTGAAATAGAAATAAACACTATCAAAGGTATCTGCAAATACCATTTTGAATATATGTACCTGGTATAGCTAATTGTTTTAGCTTATTTGTATTTAGAAAATTGAAAATCCTTCATGAAGAAATGGTAATCACATTTACAAGAACAGCCTTCATTCACATGACTCTTCACTATCACAAATGTAAAAGTACTGTCCCTTGATAAAAGTAAAGTGATCATGTGACTTTTGACTCTAACTTTGACTGATGACTATCAAAATCTTAGAAGCTGTAAACCTTAATGTTGTGATACTATGGTATAAATATGAAATAAATCTGTTGAGAGATCTATGAAATATCTCACTTGAACAAAATACTTCACACTGAAAAATTGGAAGAATATGCAACAAGCAACAAAACTTGTTAAGTGAACAGACAAAACAAGGTTGAGTGTTTTTGTCAGTTTTTTCTCTTACATGAACAATACTGAGCACCAATGAAACAGCCATTATTTTTCTACATCCCGGCTAGAAATCAGATCCAGAACTCCTGACTCACTAGAATATTGCTTTTCTGATTAATCCAGAGAGAAATTCTCTCTTGACAAGGTATTTATAGCTAACAAACAGCAGCGTTTAACTAGAGTAACGTGTGGACAATCAAAATGACAATGCTTGTTTAGTTCTCTTTCTTCTGCTTATCTGTTACTTTTGCCTGACACTGGCATGAAGGGAAAGCCATTGGGAATAGGAAATATATTTTTTTAACTTTTTTCTGCAGAATGTATAAGACCTAATTAGTATCACACATTATTAAGATAAATGAGAATATGTGGTAGGAGATATAAACCCACAGAGCTTTTCTGAAATGCACACGTTTTGTGTATTGACGTCAGATAGTAGAGCAATTGACATTTGCAAAGTTATGTTGCTACCATGAACAAATTATTGCTCTACAGTGTGTGTTCACAGCAAGTTTCCAAAATGACTTCTGGTGAAGACAGCTATCCAAACAAGCTTATTCCTTTGTGGGTTTGAAACTGAAGAGCACCATATACAAATTGTAATTTTGATATTTTGTTCCGAGAAACATATTTGCAAACAGATCCTGTTCAGTGTTGTATGTAGTGCCTCTATCAGTTCATGTCTAGAATGAGCTCCACAAAGCCTTTTAACACTGTTAATAATGATTATGGTTGAATTACATGTTGACTTTGTTTCCTAAGTGGAACAAAAACCTATGTAAAGGTCATTTATGCTTTTTTTAGAAGTCATATATCAATACAGATTGTACAAACGACACACAAGTGAATAACACCATTTACCAGGCAATACAAATTTAGAGTTAGATATAGTACAGCCAATCAATAAATTAAACTGCATGCTACAGCTGTTTTATTCTCCTAGGCCTTGTCAGTGATGCTAAGGGCCTAAACGTTAAACATATGAGGTGATTAAGGAACATCCAAAGTGGTAATAAGAAATGTCTAAAGCTAGATGTGGAGGTGTACTAGCCCCATACTTCAGTAAATCTCATAACTTTCATATATCTGATAATTAGAAAAATGTTATGTAGATATGTAGATTCTGAAGTGTGCCATTGTTTGAATGAATTAAAATGTGGGATGCAGTTATGGAAAACCTCAGTGACATGAAAGCAGGTCAAGGTCATACATTTGCATCAACTTTGTATCCCTTCACAGCCAGCATGATACAGTTAAAATATCAGTACTTTAGGCATTTCATTCTATTGAGAAGTTGTTTGAAGATTTTCAAACATCTGACCTCTGTAATCTTGAAAGGGGATTAAGGTGAATGTAACCTATTTAAAAAAAAAATACATGTACACTGTAAATCGAAAAAAGAAGAGAAGCAACTCCTGAAGCCAGGTCACCAAACAGTATATTCTACTTTCTTCTACATCTGGTTGTCTGAATTTGGTAGGCCACAGCTGGTTGCCTGAAACCTTGCTAACAACACACATCATCTTAGGCTACATCTGGTTGCCTGAAATCTATTTTTAAAAAACACAACACATATCAACTTGGTAGGCTATAGCTGGTTGCCTAAAACTTCGCTGATAGAACAACACACACATCAACTTAGTAGGCCACAGTTTGTTGCCTGAAACCTAACTGATAACACACATCATTTTAGGCTACAGCTGGTTGCCTGAATCTATTAGGAAAAACCACAACACACTTCAACTTGGTAGGCTAAGCTGGTTGCCTGGAACATTCTGGTTGTCAGTGAAATTCAAACTTTTTGCATATTTGCTCAATTTTAGATGATTTCTTGGAATTTCATTTTTGCAATTTTTCAGTATCTATGTACACATTTTAGTAACACACTATAGTGTGCCAATCCAATATGGCATCATTCACTCATTGTGATGTCTACAAATAAAGATGCAAGCCACAGGTGTGCTTTCAGCAGGATGTTTTTGTGCAAAAAACGTACTGTGCTATGAATGTGAAATGTGTGGGAGAAGCAATTAAGATATGCAGTGTAGTTAATAATGAAATTAGGAAATTTTACATCTCACCATTAGAACCTCAATTTCAGATCTATAGCTGCAAAAAACTACGCCTTCAAATCATCCTTCTTTACCCAAATCACAGTCTAATGGAATGTCCTCCCTGCGACCATAGTAGAGAGTGCTACCACATACAGCTTCAAAATCAAAATCAGCTCAAACTATTCTAACACCTCTCCTGTACATCAACTTTACTGTATGTACATAGATATATGTTCAATCTCTTTTTTAGCATCATTCACACACTCCAGATGATCTATCTATGCAAAGGAGGTTTGGTGAAATTAAAGAAGATGAGTATAAAGGGATGCAAGTACCTAAATTGCAGATGAAGTTCGACCAACTCAGTGGAAAAGGTGCCCTATGTTTGATTCACCGCCTCACTAGATTTGCCATCCATATTTTGATATGCACACCATAATTAAGACTAGGCAGGATTCATTTGTTTACATTTGCTATACAGCCAGATTTACCAGTACTTCAGTCTTGGTCGTAACAGCAAAAGTGTGTTGATCTACAGGCTGGGCACAACATTTCATATGTGTTATAGCCCTACACTTGAGGGATAGTTACCACTTTGAATAATCAGTTAGTTGCCACTCAAATGCAGGGTCATTTTAAGTAGTTCTATTAAACATTTCCAAACAAAAAATGTGTCAATGCATTATCACACATTTTTAAACAAAAGGTTGTTAATTATGTTGTGTCACTTTTTGTGAAAATCACAAATTTTATCACCCCCCCCATTTTTTTATCAACTGCTTATATTGTAGCTAAAAATAGAACTTAAGTAAATTCAGGCCTATCTTTGACATTTGCACTAAATTCTGCCACTGGCTACACTTTGTACTAGGTACAGAACAAATTTAGTGATATAAAACGTTATTTTAACACAAAGTTAGAAGTAATAACATTTAATAATTCCTTTTGTATTATATACTTTACACCAATGTCTAGCACCACGTGAAAAATCATTCTGAGTGACCATCTGAAAAATATCTTAATCCACATTTTAAGATAATGTATACACATGATAATGCAGTATAGTGAACTGTCATGGAGTTTAATAGGATTGAGTGTCCTGGGAGTGGCGTGAGACACATTAAGTGCCCAGCAGTTCATTAATCAATATATTTTTTTTATATTGTTTTTGTATTATACACTTTACTACAGTGTCTAGTAACATGCAAAAAATTGTTCTGATTGACTTACCACAGAGTATTGAAATATGCTGTTTAAGTTGATGCAGTGTCCACAGATAACACTATACTCAATTACTGAGGGCATACCCAACTCTATATGTTACAGATTAACTAATCTACCTGGTGACACTGACCACAGCTAAATGATAAGTACAGTTCGAGTGTCACCTGTCACCTCTCAAGTAGTTATTTGTACATGTAATATATATTATATATGTGTTAAAAGTTTGTTAGGAACTACGTGTATCTTGTGTCCTCAATAAACATGTTTGAGAAATTTTACAGTTTCAGTGTAATTTTCATTTTACAAGCATAGAAACATCTAGGCATATATATAGCATGTAACCCTGGTAAAATACTATCCGCAATATACCACTCGGCTAGAGAGAACTTCTCTTTAGCTCGATTGGTTGAGCGTCAGACTAGTAAGCCAGGGGTCCCGTGTTCGATTCCTAGCGGAAGCATTGAAATAAATAATGACCTCTCCCACGCTGGCGCCCATGTAGGGACCTGGGAATAGTACTTAGTCATGCCCCATCAGCATCGCTGTAACCCCTGGAAACTCGAGGACGAGTTATTTCCTGGAGGGGGAGTATGTAACCCTGGTAAAATGCTATCCGCAATATACCACTTGGCTAGAGAGAACTTCTCTTTAGCTTGATTGGTTGAGCGTCAGACTAGTAAGCCAGGGGTCCCGGGTTCGATTCCTAGCGGAGGCATTGAGATGGCAAAATGACCTCTATTACATAGCATATATGTCCATTTTTCATCATGAATTATAAGACAATTAGTGATATAAAGATTTTATGAAAAACTGGTAAATTGTACTTCAGTTAATTTGAATTTGAGTATGTACATATTTAGGCCATTTCAATTTGTTTTTATTCAGTAAATTTGATTGAAATTAATATTAAATGCATATGTATTCGGGCATGACATGGCACTTTTGAAATATGCTGACCCTGAAAAGTACTGTTTTTAATGTTTAGTCAAATAACATGGCTATTTACAAAACAATGCCAGCTTCAGTTGTCTTGCGAACCAAGTCTATAGGTCCTTCTTAGGGTGGACTCCATCTGGAAAGGCAGCAGTTTAATGAACTGTCTGGCGCTAAAGATACCCAGGACATTTCATTGGGTACACCCGACTATTGCCCCATGAAGGGTTGATATGCCTAACCTAAGGAAGTATCTCATCCGATCTCATGCCTGTTGCTGGAATTACTGCAACCATACTCAGTCTCAATAGTTCCGATCCTTAGGTTACAAATTGTCCCAATGTATGATACATAAATCGAAATTATTTTAATCTATACCTTAACGTGTAAATCGGACGACCAGTCGAAATATCTTCGACAATTAGGTGTAATCGTGGAAGGTTACGTGCTAGAAATATCATGTTTTCATTAATTGGATACTTACCCTTGAATTGTGGATCATTTAAATCGGCCTTGAATCTTGTAACGAGTTCGTGATTTGTGACTTTATTGCCCCGTTGTTCGATAAATTCTCTGACAGCTTCCAATGTAAACCCGGAAGCTGCCATTTTCAAAATAGTCCTTATCGCTACAACGCTTCATTCAGAAACAAGCGTGTAGTTGATCATGTTAGGCGGCGTTCGATTAGGGAAAGAAATATATCCTTGTAGGTCCATACACGCATGTTGAATTTCTTCTCTCGCTCTCCCACCCCCTCTCTCTCTCGCTCGCTCTCCCTCGCTCACTCACATTTTAATAAAGAGTGTTTAAACAGAGCTATAATATAAGCACTGGGCCCCCGAAAAATTAAGCGATGATCTTACTTCTATGAAGCAAAGACAAAACAGACCAAGTAAGCTGCCATACATGAATGGAAATCTTAGAAGCTTAGCTATTTTTTAGAAAACCAACGGTTTTAATTAATACTGAAAATAAAGAACTACAGAAAATTGGAAAAGTTATAGGAAAAAGAGAAATTTAGTTATCAAATTGAAAAAAAATGTCTGTATCAGAGTATTTTAGAGTCTGATGTAGTGACGGTCCTATAGAAGACTTATGGTTCACCATCAAACCAAAGCCAAAGGTGATAATAATATTTTATTGTGGGGGAAATAAATGTTGATCAAAAGTAGTTTGTGAAACTTTTAATTATCACTTTAGTGATGTTGCTGACAACAAAATATAAAAAATGAATATTAATTGTGATACCATGAAAGTGTCGTCATTATTAGGGACCATATTCATTATCCTTTCAGTTTTTCTTTTTCCGCTATTGGGCACAGCGATGTTACCGCGGTTTTATTTAAAGTTCTAGAAAGGAAAGTCACAGATGTAGACAACATATCGTGCACAATCCTAAAATGTTGTGTACACACCGCCATTCCAGTTCTTTAAGACCTTTAATTACTTTTTATTAACAGTTGCATCTTTCCGGAAGTTTGTTCAGGTAACATCAGTATATAAGACTAATGACCCCGGTCTGGACAAAACCAATTATAGGTCAGTTAGTGTACTTCCCAGTATCTCCAATGTTTGTAAAAGAATCCCGCATGATCAACTGTCTTCATTAAAAAAAAACCCACGTCTTTCATCCTTACTTAGCTACCTATAGCATCGGTTTCGGTTGTCAGCAGATAGTGTCAAACTGTGATGCTTTGCTATAATTGATATTTTTCACCGTTATCTACTGTGGTCTATGATCTTAAGTATGTTTACATGACTGTGTTCCTTTGTTTTTCTTTGTTGAAATACAAGTTAATTCGAGCTTATGTTTACCGTTGCCATACATTCAACATAAAATAACGGTTCTTGTATTTTCCACGAATCTGTGGTTCCGTTGCGCGTAAAACTAAAATTCCATAGAGGGTTTACTTGTAGTTGCTTAAAGCTTGGTTAGCTTAATTTCCCTAAAGTAAAATTTGTCACAATAAATGTATAAATAACTCCCGCATGTATATCCGTATTCTCGGTCAGATAGGTAGTCAACACCGCATACATGTCTTGGTGAGTAACTTTTGACCAGTCCTGGGGGAGGGGTTGCCTACCCTTCTAATTTACAAATTTAAAAAGAGCCTTCAGATAAAGTCCCATAGATCCGGGGATAAGCAACTGGTGGGATAATTGTGGAAAAGAATAATTTATTTTGACAGGGTGCTGTCTATGGGTCCCATATCTGTTGTCTACATATGTCAGAGTGCTGTCTATGGGCCTCAGATCTGCTGTCTACATATGTCAGAGTGCTGTCTATTGGTCCCATATCTGTTGTCTTCATATGTCAGAGTGCTGTCTATGGGCCTCAGATCTGCTGTCTACATATGTCAGAGTGCTGTCTATTGGTCCCATATCTGTTGTCTACATATGTCAGAGTGCTGTATATGGGCCTCAGATCTGCTGTCTACATATGTCAGAGTGCTGTCTATGGGTCCCATATCTGTTGTCTACATATGTCAGAGTGCTGTCTATGGGCCTCAGATCTGCTGTCTACATATATCAGAGTGTTGTCTAATGGCTCCGGATCTGTTGCCTACATATGACAGGGAATCATCTTTGCTTGTGTCTCCTTTATCTGTTCGCAAGCAGGCTATGATGACCTGAATTACCTGGTCTATTTTGGGGGCGCAACAAAAGTCACGCCGTATTTGAATTTTTGGGGACAGTCTTAAAGTATTGTTTTTTTAGCAGTGTCTCAGAAAAAAGCTGTTTCTCCCCCTACCAGAATGATTTTTCTGTGAGTGTTGTTTTATACAGAGTCCTGGACATTAGAGGTTCCTCCTTTCAGAGTTGAGGAGACCTTAACTTGGTTTTGATTTGGTTACACAAAAAGATGGCCTCCTTACACGAGATTCAGTCCTTACTGAGGAAATTGATGTTTATTGCCAGTTGTGTCCGACAAAGTCGGGCGGTCATCAGCAGATTATTGAACTGACTGGAAAGTAACAAGAAGAAAAGAGATGGATCTTCAGGTACCAGTTGAAGTCAAGAGCGATCTTGTCAGTGGTAGAGAGAGTTTCTCGTCTTGTATAACAGAGTCTCCATGATGTGTATGGAAGAATGGTCCGTTCCAGATGGAGGGTTCTCATCTGATGTATGCCTGTCAGGCTGTTGGAGTATCTTCAAAGGGCTTTCACACAGAGTTCCAGGGTTTATTGTTATTCAGAACTGGAGTATCAATGTCCTTGATCTGTTCACGGTAGTAGTGTATCAAGTTAGGAGGAGTGACTGTAGGGGCAAGAAGATTGTCGTCAATTGGGACACCAATGCCTTTGTCCAAGTGATGTTATCTGTGCAGTCCATGTTCAACTACATCCGCCTTCGTGAAATAATTTTTTACTCTACCATGCATGAGTTCGAACTGCGGGCGGTTCACATTGAGGAGAGTTGAACAGGATTACAGATCGTTTGTCGAAGTGACATTTGAACTTTTCTCATGCAGCGAAGTTTCAGGAATTAGTAACGGACATGGATGTTTTGGAATATTCAGTGACAGAGCATCCTCGATACTCGAGGGGATACGATCACTTTCGCTCTCTGCACCCTAGCTGCTGTTACTTGTTGATTCGATTTTCAAGGGCCTGTACCCATTATCACGATTTTCATGCAAGAAGTCAACTGACGGACAGGGTCTCAAAATGATGCTGGTTAAAAAGTATGGGAAAGTTTTACGATCGTCATAGTGATCTCATCGAGAAATAGTATATTTCTTTGTACGATATGAAGCTGGACGTGTTTGATGCCCGTTAGTTTGCATGTTTTTTCCTTGTTCTGTTGTTGTATACCTTGTTCTCGTTTGAGAACCTGACATTATTTACTTGGATTGATCAAGATTGACATTGCGAGTTGCGTCGATGAAGCAGAAGGTGCTTACTCTTCGGAACACCTGGTCTTATTCTCCTTGTGAAGGAGTCTCCTTGTAAGTCGTTCCTTCGGTCACGTTATGCCGTAGTTTTCTTGGATTTGAGTTAGAATTATATTGTGTTGACTTGTTGGTATTTTCTCGCTTTGAATTAAACGAAATCGAAAACCTTCATTGTTATTTCACAGAGCTCTGTAGATTTGTTGTGATGCATCTGATTTATAAACATGTAATTTAAATCTTAGTTTTCCTTTGAAAGTATTTGGGTTTTCTCAGTAGCAACAGTTCTAATCATTGGTTACATTTAACCATGCTTTGAGCAACTGGGCCGGCCTTGTTGACAAGTAGTCACCCATTTCTCCTACAAATTTCCTATTTTCGATCTTTTTATATTAGAAAATAATTTTCTCAATTTTTGATATTAAAATGCAATTTTTGAAACCAGAAAATAGTTGCATTTTTCTATGAATTCAAAATTTGTGTCTCGTATCAGAATAAGAAATTCAATTTTTGAGCACAGAAAATAAAACACCGTCCATTTTCTGATATTAAGAATTCATTTTTTATGCAAAGAACGTTCTCAATATGTAATTTTTATACTTGTAAACAGTGTTTTCGAGAAACTTAGTATAATACAACATTATACTTCTCTGATACTAAAACGGCGCCTGTATCTGTTACGTAATAAAACAAACTAACATCATTGGCCACACTCATCATAGCTCATGTTTCTATGGCTTTACTGCTAAAACAAGTAATGAAGCACGTGTAATACAGTGACAAATCATCGGAAAATTTATTGTCGATTTTTAATGGTGGAACGTGAAAACAGAAAAATAAGAGAAAAGAAGCAACATTCAACACACATGTTATGATGTATAAACCTGACTGTCCGCTTCCTGTCAACAAGGCTAGGAATGATTTATCTATCACGCGCTCGGTAGAGTGGCATAACAATAAACAACTGATTCCCGGTACGATCATAAGTGATAGAAATGAAAAAAAGTAATGACCTCAGTTACACAAGGACAAGAACGTATAATTAACCGTATTGTACGTCTGTGACAAGCATCATCTATCGCGTAAGATATTCTGAATATAATGGTGATATGACAGAAGCACTTCGTCCCAGACTAATTCAAATATCTAAAGGACCTTTCTTATTTAATGGACACTCCTTCATTGGTCAAAACCTTTGGGATTCTTCCAAGAAAGACCAACGAAAGGAGGGACATTGCCGAGGGACGTTACAGCCATGGTCAAAGAATGCCAAAAAAAAAACAGTCTGATATCACTCTTCTCAAAGTTATTGTTCAAGATTGAACCAGACGGAAATAGAAAGAGGAGATGATACCGTGATAGATCAGACCAGCAACCTTCAACCCAAATAATAGGACCATTAATTGTATATAGGACAGGAAACGGAGAGTAGAGATGATACCATCTAACTGTGACAATATATAGGACAGGAAACGGAGAGTGGAGATGATACCATCTAACTGTGATAATATATAGGACGGGAAAATGGAGAGTGGAGACGATACCATGACGATATATAGGACGGGAAAATGGAGAGTGGAGACGATACCATGACGATATATAGGACGGGAAAATGGAGAGTGGAGACGATACCATGACGATATATAGGACGGGAAAATGGAGAGTGGAGACGATACCGTGACGATATATAGGACGGGAAAATGGAGAGTGGAGACG